AATTAAGATATTTATGTCCTTTTTATTGGACTTATTGAACATTGTATGACCCGTCATTGCTGGTAAGTATAGGGGTCAGTCCGGCTCCTTCCTTTCTTTGTATTTGCACAAAATCACAGTAAATGTATATTTGAAGATGAGATGAAACTTTATTGATCCAAGAGGGAAAGTTATTTGAGGTTTTTGCAACAGTAAACACAAGTACAAGATGGAATAATGATTAAGGAAGGCACAAGAAAGAGGGTTGTAGAAGGTAGGAGACAAAAAAAAAGAGAGGAGAGGAGGGAGGGAAAAAAGGATGTGTGAAAAGTAAAGGGTCACTTCTCTTTTCTCACAGTTCCTTATGCAATCCCTGAGGAATGTCCACATCTCCTCTCTCTGCCCCTCGCATTGTCTGGATTTGTGTAGAGGCTCTTGGGGAGTGTGTGCATGTGTGTGTGCATTGTAGCACTAAGCTCTGTGTGTGTGAGTGAATTTCTAAGCTTCTCTTCCTCATCTTCTTCACTCCCGGTCTTTCTTTTTTTGGGGAGTCTGTGTAAATGTTGGCAATGCACCAGAATATTTTGAAATTGCACATTGTTGCTACATTGTGCTGTCCGTCTTATATATTCTTCAAGGTATCTATAGCACAAATAAAATACCCTCTGCAGTGTGTGTTCTTTCTACAAAGCACACAGATAGTTAATCAGTCCTTTCTAAATACAGTACATATAGCTTATAGATATACATTATATATGGCATAAAGATAGTCCACAGTATACTAACATTTTCCATATGAAGGTCACTGACCAGAGACTCTTGCTCTCTTGTCATTACTTGCATGAATGACCCCACCTACAGGGACAACCAGTAGCCTGTATATGCCTGTAAAAGGCATCATATGGAAATGAGGCTCAAAGTAGTTGCGGCAACTTTAAGGAACGAGCATACAAGATGACACTTCTTCACAAAATAACACCTGGAATGCTTTGAACATCACAGTTTGATAATATCTAAGAGAACATCTGTTGTGATTCCCTTGAACACACTGTATCATCAGTGATCTTACAAAGAGTCACTGTTATGGAGCCCCAAAGTGTTCAGTAGTATTTGTCTAATATTTAGGAGGAAATATGGCTGAAATGGAAATACAGTTTATAGGTGTGTTTCCATTTGTGTATAATCACCTTAATATAGGAATTGTTGTTTTTGTTACCTGAGCCGTATCTAGCTGCTGCGGTAAATAAATAAACAATAAATAAAATAAAGACAATACTCATAAACTAACATCTCTTATTTATTCAGCTTAACAAGGCTGCTAATGCTACCTGCTTAGTGAGGCAGAGTTGTAAGCTTGGTTTATTACTGAGCATCAAAGTGCCGGTGTTAGCAGTATTAGCTAGCTCGTGTTGGTAAGCGTACCCACAGATAAAGTTAAAGGGACTGTTAAAGGCAGAGGTTCGGTTACTGTCTATGTTTTCTTAGTAAACAGTTGGTTGATCAGAATTACTTTGGCAATTTTGTTGCTCCAGCTAAGGGAGCTGGCTAAATTTGATAGCAGTTGCTGGATTTTGAGCCAAGTTAAATGTTTATCCAACAGCTGCAGCTTTAAGACTCCTCTCGAGTCTTAAAACTGCATCCTCTGTGGTTTGAGTTTTTTCCTGTAAAGTTTTTGCACCTTGGTTTAGGGAGGAAGCAACAATGAATTTGCATTTTCATGCACGTTCAAAAGGGGTTAGACAATCCAGGTGTGCTGCTTCTCATGATAATCCCTGCAATAATAGGCTGACATCTTGTGTTCTCTGGTTCACCGTCAAACATTCATGCTCACATATGCTGTTTACAATGAATGGACATATGGTGTTTATGTACGAAATCGGCACATTTCTCCAGAGTGAAGACATTTAGTGATCATTACTGTCAAAATAACCCCTTTTGTGGTCAATCCATTTGGGTAGAGTCGTTATTATTATGATTATCATATTATACCTTGGGTTTAGTGAATAAAGCATATTTACATGGCACATGATTATGGTAAGGTAAATATTTGGGTGTACATACTTTTTTTTTTCTGAACACTGCTCAAGTCAGTTTTTTCTTTACAGCTCTGAATAACTTAGTATACAAATCATCAGCCTTATAGACACATATGAAACATAAATACACACACAGACACACACACACACCAACAAGTAAATATACATCACTTCACCACCACTGCCACAACACACAGGCTCGGTCTTGCAGTGTGAACGATATGACTGTGTTTTTTGGCAGCCTCTCCAAAATGCATCTCCCCTTCAATCTATCTATCTCCCCTCTTCCCTGCCTCATTCTCTACGCCCCCCTCCCTCTCTCCAGTACGTGATATTAAGTGCTGCTCTCACTGCTCCCTGTTTAGCCACTTGGCAATGCAGCAACACATCCATCTCTCTGGAAATGTTTATCTGCAAGCTGTTTACTCCATACTCCTCCACATATATTCACATACATGCACACACACACACAGACCCACACACACACAATCGGCAGTTCAAGTTGAGTTTTGCAAACACAAACAACAATGCTACAGACATGTACTGACATGAGTGTAAGCATGTGTGTACAAAGAAAAACAAACGAAATGTAGGGAGGCATACTTTCCCAAACTACTGTGTTTTTCTTTTCTTTTTTTTTAAAGTTATTTTTTTGGCCTTTTGTTGGCTTTATTTTTTATAGAAACAGCTGTAGACAGACAGGAAAGGTGGGTGGAGAGAGAGGGGATGACACGCAGCAAAGGGCCGCAGGTCGGACCTGAACCCGGGCCGCTGCAGCAACTCCGTATATGGGCCGCCATCAAACCGCAATTTTTGCAAGTTCCCGCAATCTTTGCAAGTTCCCGCAATTTCATTGCATAAAATTGCATAAATATCCCGCATATTCCATCGCATTTTTTAAGAAAACGTACCACATAATCAAGGATTTTTGCCCGCAACAATCACAAAAAAACTCAACAACTTAAATGAACACATGGAATCAAACAGATGCACATGTAAGGCTGAACTTTCACAAGCTTTCACACCATAGACACTGGTATGCAAACACACACACACACACACACACACACACACACAATAACACACACATTAGAGTGAGGAAGGAATGCTGATAGAAGCTATGGTTGGATACGCTGGTTGGACTACATATAAACAGTGGGGAGATTTAGCCTCAAAGGCTGCGCACACGTCTGTTAACACACACATCATGTACACACACTATATATACTAAAGCATAACCACACATACACACAGCACTCACCAGCAACATGTAACACGCACACATGCTCGGATGACATTGTTATTGCATTCCACTAATTAAATTAAGCCTGTAAATGTAGCGCTCGGTTAGGCAGATAAAGCCTGAACTTCCTTCCAAACAGAGGGTAGAGGGGGCGAGAGACAAAGAATTAGAGCCGTTAGAGAGAGGCTGTGAAGATCAAGGCAAAGTTGAAAACAGAAGGGTCAACTTTACAGGAAGGTTGAGCGATGAGAGACAGATTACAGGAAGACAGAGGAAGCATGGACGTTGGGGATGTACGCGGGGTTATTTGTGAGATCGACTCCAGATTTGCACATCCTGAAGAACTGAAAGGGAAACTCCAATCGGAGGCTTGGTTACGGCTGGTGGTTGGCAAAAATGACATGGTGGTGTGAGGGGTTCTTGATCAAATCACACTCTGTTCTCTTCAGCTGGAGATATCAAAAATATTTCAAGTCTTAAAACTTAAGTCTTATTTTTGTAGTTTTGGCCATAATTTCCATCATTAGTATGTTTTTTTCAAGAGAAATCAAAGGTGATAGTATGACTCAAGCTGTCAGTTGTAAACATCCATCCATTCTCAGTTCAGTTATGACTTATAAATTAAGCAGTTCAGATAATCTTACAACCTGTCTGAACGTCTGCCTGCTCGTTTCTTGCCCTGTTGCACTTTGTTGTAGTGATATCACTTTGTTACCACATGTCAGCAATTAACTTGGTGGGCACAATAGCATCATAACCAATAGAAACAATTGCATAAGATCCCAGACTTGGGGTCTTGAGGTGTGTGTATAGGTGTGTGTGTTGTTGCACTGGTAGACTGCAGAAGGCAACAGACATGTCACTAAATCTTTTAATTCGACTTCAAGACTAGAAAAGGCAGTACCCTCCTTTTCCCTATTTTTCCTTCAATCTGTCAGACACAGGCCAAAGGCAAACGAACACACACTCTCACACACACACACACACACACACATAACACTAACCATAAATTACAGAGAGGCAGCAAATCATTCTCTCATGCACTCCCCGGTGACTCAAACATTTAGTTCATTCTCTGTTGCGCTCTGCAAATTAAAGTGTGCACAAAAGGCTTTCAAATGTTGGCATGCATTATATTGTGTTATGAAATTATGTGGCATTGATGCCAAAGCTTTCTGGTATAATCATCAATTATGCCACTGGTATTTTGCATGCGTGTCTGAGTGTTGGTATGTTTGGTGTGTAAAGGCTGGGGGGGCATAAAGGTTCAATCAATTCAACAGTGAAATGTAAAACACTGTGAGGATAAAGCAACAGACTTGACCTACGCCCAGAATAATGATGAAAGGTGTGTTGTAAATAAATGAGCACTGAATAAAAATTGTATTCTGTATGGCACAGCTGAATCTACCCAACATAAAAAATTAAAGACTCCAGCAAGGATGGCTATACTGAGCACATAATTCATGGGTAGAGCTATATGGGTAGAAGGGTAGGGTTTTGAGACAGAAAGTTCAATTAGGACCTCATAACTACTTCTTTTAGTCTCATAGTTCATCAAGTTGGAACATGTCATATCCCTACGGCCATCTAACCCAGTCACAAATGTGTATATCAGTGCTAAATAAGGTTGTTTTGTTAACTACTTTGAGACTAGGTTTCAAGAAAAAAATAAGCTTTAACTCGTCCGACTATAACCCAGTGAACTTTACCCAAGTGACCACCTGCTCTCTTCTGTTTAGGTGGAGCTATCTGACAGTACCTCCCACACCATCACCGATGCCTATGCTGGGAAGGAATACATCATCCAGGTAACACTCATGCCATTTCTACCTGACTGATCATTTAAGGCCTAAGACAATCCACGTCTAATTATGTATTTTCTAAAAAAACATTCAGGAACAATTATTTCTTCTAAAGTTGAGGCCTCAAAACTCAGAAACAAACAGTAAACAAACATAAATCCTTTTCCAAAACCACCAAAATCAACAGATCCAACAACAGGGTTTCCTTTCCACCAAGTCATCCAAGTTTGTCTTCCTAAAAAATAGTACATATAATCAGTGAATAGGCCAATGAATGAATTTTAACAGAATGAATGAAGCTTATTCCCATAATTACTGTATGTAAATCAACTTGATAGCCATTAGACAGACTGGCATTATATATAAATCAGTATACATATGTACACTTATAATTTGCTGACTACTTTTTACTGTCCTTTTGTCCAACAGGTGGCTGCCAAGGACACAGAGATTGGAACATGGAGTGACTGGAGTGTTGCTGTCCATGCTACACCCTGGATTGAAGATCCTCTGCCGATCACTTCCACTACTGAAGTGGACTTTCCCACCGGTAGGTTACAGCCCCAGTTTAAGCCTCTACCTTTTATTCTTACCTAAGGGTCACTATCAGAGTTAGTGACACATTTTTTATTTAAAATATATGCAAAGAAAGCAATCGGATGTGTGTTTGGATTTGTAGTGTCTGAGCTGAACATTAATATTTCTGAAAACACCATCTAATCCACACTATTTTTCTTGTGTTGAGCTTTCTGAGATTGAGATTTTACAATGCATATAGCAATATCCACTTAAACACAAACACTCTCCTTCAGTCAAAAAGTAATTTAAAAATGTTCTGACTGACTTAACTGATAAAGCAGATGCCAATGTATGAATGAAAATGCTATCTGTTCAAACACATCAAAGACCAAAAACAGGACATGATACAATGAGCTGTAATGAAACAAGAGCAACAGTTTAATGCCAATGCAAGCAGCGAAAAATGTGTGTCAATACATTTAGTAGATGTTGAGATATTTCTGGCAGAGCTGCTGGTGGTGCCAGAGGAAAAGTCATCATCAAAGTCAGTAGGATTCATTCTCAGGGTACCATCCATCCAATAGTGTTGAGATATTTCAGTCTCGACCAAAGTGATGGGCTGACTGACCAACCGACCACCACTGCCTTCCCGGGAGTCACACTACTAATGTGGCTGAAATGGGATCAAATCAAAATAAGAAAAATGTAAAAGAGTATGAAACAGTAGCCTATAATAGCGGCTTGTCATTAGTAGTTAATTATCCTCCTAATAATTCTCCAAATATGCAAGTTCACTAGTTCAAAGCGTAAGTAAGATACAGATAGTGACCTGAATTATGCTGAGTGAAACTGTGTGTGTAGAAATATTCTGATAGTATTCCTATAACACTGTTTGGTCTTGCAGTGAATCAGTGGGAGTAACCATTTTGTATAATATAGTATTATAATATATTATTCCTACAATGTTTTTTTTAACATTGTTCTTTATGCCCAAGGCTGTCATACAGTAAATTTCCTGAACCAGTTAGGTATGAAATTAAGTCTGGTTAATAACTTTCTTTATCATTAAATTAAGTACACTGTAAGCGTTTGATAGCCTTGAACTTTTATCGCAGCTTAAGCTATAAGATCCAGCAGCCTCCGGACAAATCGACACACATCAACCTGAGCGCCTGAACACCGCCTCAAGGAAAAACTGCAATCTTTTTAAAAATGCTCACTTCGCTCCTACAATTTCAAATATAGCAACACTACACTTTCTAGTTTTTTTATGCATGAGAAATGATATTTTTACATTCAAGTCATTATAGATTAGTGTATTTTATGTCCCCTGACACACACAAAGCACATACTCGCATACACACAAGGACATAAACTATCTCTGGGAATTATCTAGTAGGCACCCCTTGAGCATGTGGTAGAGATCAAGGATGGCTCGCTTGTCAAATCGAACTCTGTCAACGCACTGATGATCTCTGAACAATAAGACATCCATCCCAGCTCTGAACACTCTTCTGTGCACATCCCTTCAACCACACTGCAATAGCAAAGCACAAATTGCAGGACACATTTTGAATGAATAAACACTGAATATGACTGGGCAGGTTTTAACATGTATTTTGCTACTTCGCGCTTTCTAAATTTGCGAGCTTGTAAATGTAGGGAGTGTTTCTCTACATCATCACCAGTTTCATATCAGGCTGATGAATACTTTATTGTAATATTTAAATTGCAAAAAACACTTCACGGAACATAATGGTAAAATTTATACAGCGCTTTTCTGGTATACCGACAACTACCGAACACTTGTCACATACACCCAATCACACACACATTCATACACTGATGGCAGAGGCTGCCATGCAAGGTGCTAACCTGCTCATCAGCAGCGATACAGCCCTTCCTATCCAAAGCGCTCACCCATACACACTCACATACACGCTCACACACCAACGGCACAGTCATCGGGGGCAATTCTCCTTAGTTACAAGCTACAAGTGGTAGAAATTTTCAGGTCTCTTTACAGGTTAGTGTGATATAAGGCATACTCTTTCCACTTCTGTGCCTGTAATCACACCCTAAAGTGACGTCACAGTGCACCGACCACTCCCTAAGTACACTTCTACATCATTGCAACAAGCTGTTAGCTTCGACATTAACTATATCCCGAACACTACATGACATCAAGACACAGACCGTTATTTGCGTTCCATACTCAAAGTGTATCTGCTAAGATTTACATTTTGTTGTTTCTGTTGCTCAACATCATTGCATTATAAAACACTACTAGTGGATAACACCACACAATCTAATATACAGTATATCAACTTCCACTTGGAATTCCACTGGAATATGTCTTGGCCGGGAGCAGTGACCTGGATTCTCTGCTGGGTGCCTGGCAACGTCGCAACGACAACAAGACTCCAGGAAGTAATTGTACCTGGCCAAGAAATAGCGTGGCAGATAACCCTGCATACTGCTACTTGTCGTTTTTACACTTCAGATTTTGTGGGGATTAATCAAACAAGATATAACACGTTACTCATTGAGCTTTGGAAGTACTGGTAGGCGGATTGTGTTACCTTCTGACAGAGCCAGGCTAGCAGTTTCCCATCTTTATGCTAAGCTAAGCCAACAGGCTGCTGGCCGTGGCTTTATATTAACACACATTAGACTGGTATCAATCTTCTCATCTAACTCTTGGCCAGAAAACAAACAAGCTAATTTCCCGAAATGTCCAATTATTCCAATATCCCATGTGAAAAAATGCTGCGCTCACACCAGTACAGGCTTTACGAACTGAAGACTTGTTTTGACCTGGATTTTGCCTCAAGGGCCACATACAGACTGGCCTAACCCTCTGATTGGTTGGGGTTGTTGGGCTGTACTGTGAAAGGTTTACATACACTGATCAGAGCAGGAAAAAAAGGTATCAAATTGTAAAATGTGATTGTAAAAAGTACAATTAGTGAAATCACACTACATAGTTGCATAGCATTCCTTTCTATTATCATTGACAAGCAGTTTGACTTCCTTGTTCCCCCCTCAGTCCGACGCCATTGCATGTCAACATATAGTGACTGGAGTAAGCGCTTTATTTTTCAACAGTGCAACACATCACATATATTTTAAATCAAGCAGGCAAACAAAGCAGAACAATCCTGAAACCTGTGACAATATGAACCCAATTTAAATTTTTTCTAAGAAACGTTTCTGTCTACCTGTCTTTCCCTTCATCTCTCTGCTCGTCCACTGACATTTCTCAGGAATTTTACAGTACAACAGTGACTCCTGTTGGTCACGAGCCGTACTGCACGCTGATCATCACACAGTCAACACCAAATGAGCTCACACGCGCCTAGAAACACACAAATACATGCTAAACAGCAAACACAGAAACACACAGAGCCTGCTCTAATGCTCCCTCACACACAAACCCCTATAAAAAAGTGTCACACACACATACACTGTACCTCCCTCTGATAGCATGCAGTGTACACACACACACACTGATTCAGTACACAGTGTATTATTCTTGTTCTTGGGGAAAGAACAGGAGGTTATTGGGATTCTCCTCATGCCTCTTCTCGATCCAGCTGCGGCTTCTCTGCTTCCCTTCCCTCTCTCCTGGTCCTGTTCTGTTCTTCCCTCTCTTTCTCTCTTCCTCTTTTTCTCCGTTTCACTCTTTTTCTTTCCACTTACCTCTCACTTCTCAATGTATTGATCACTCACTCTTTCTCTTACTCTTACCTTTCGTCACCTCTCCCTTTGTACCTATCTCTTTTTCTGGTCTCCTGCCACCTTCTTTACAGATGTTGCTTGCTGGAAGACTGATTACATCTGTGTAGCGGCTGTGCATAGCTACAACCTTTATTTTGATATCAATAAAGTGAATTCAGGGTTGTCATTCCCATTGATGGTTACACAATTTCTCCCTGCTTTTTTATCCCTCTGGTCTTTAATATAAAGCCAGTTGATTACTAACAAACAATGGGTACTTCCATCAGCCTGTTTTTGTGTGCTTTTTTAATTTGTGAACACTGATCTCACAGTCTACTGCAGACAAAGCATTCATGTAATGCTGCCACGGCAACAGTCACATGCATCTACTTCACCAGGAAGTCCAAAAAATAAGAGAATAAATAGAGCAGAAGTGTCAACAGTGTACACAGCCACAACGTAATTTGTTCAAGTCTGTACCCTTGTTGTTACAGCAGCTGATAAGAACACCACAGCAACAAATTCATACATACAAAAACACATAAAAACAAATACCATCTTATGTTGAAAGGAGCAGTGAACTACCATGATGTATCAGAGTTAATTAATTATGTAATCATGTCATGTATTGTATGAAATTGATGAAAACATAGACTTGTTCACATTTATTTTGCAGAACTGTCTGAAGTATATCAAGTAATTATTGAGTTTGCACTCACTAACGATTGTACGTGAAGCAAAATCTTGAGGAAACAAGGAAAATATCTGATTTCCTGTCCGCAAACAGACCATTTCAGCCAGGGCCAATTCTTTTTCAGCTGACCAGCTTGTTAACATCTCCACATTGACCAATATTTCCTGGCTGCTCAGCCAAATAGGTAATGAATGGACTTCCTGTGACTTATTGATTGTGTAGCTCACAGTCAAAGCACACTGTTACACTTTCTCTATTTCAGCTCTTTCTCCCCCGCTTGTCTGTGCTATATTTCCTTGTCTTCTTTTTTTTGTATCAGCAATAGCAGATGATCTGAAATAGTAGGTAGCTGCAGTTAAGTGTCTGATCTGCTTCCTGGCATCAACAACCCCATTTCACATCAAAAGGATCGCACAGTGACAGACAGATGACATTTAGAAATCCCATCCTCAGTGATTGGACCATTGCTTAGCAACCACATTCCAGGAAGTAAAAAGCAGATCAGTTCAGGCTTTAAAAAGTTGCAGCCATCCTTAGTGTTGCAACCATCTAAGATATAAGTTTCTGCCTCGCCCACTCTGTGAGACAGAAACTGGACACTGTCTAGCACCAAACAGGCAACCCTAGATATCACTTCTTATATCCTTCATGTCTACAACTATTTATAAATGCTTAGTGTCTGTTTCAAGGCATATCGTAGAACGAGAGTATGTGTTTCTATACATGCAAGTCCTTAATAAGCAGGCAGCTAAATGTTAAAGCAAATGCTGAGGTGCCTCAAAGTCCTCCTCTGCTGCATGTTGGCTCAAATTCATAAGGACAACTACTACTTATTATGTCAGCAAGTAGAGTATTAAAATGGGAAGTGTTATTTCAGACAATGTCGGGTGATGGACACTTTTAATATTCTCATTATTTTATTTTTATACAGTTGAATCATCAGTACAAAATGTTGTATGTGAGTCAGATTGCCCAACCTGGTGCCCCCATTTTAGAAAAATCTCAGCAGATGGGCTTGGACGCCCAGAGTGCCTTCTAGGGTTCCCTTCCAGTGGAGAAAACAATGAAGTGCCCTCTAGGGTGCCCTTTCAGAAGGAGAAACATGATAAAATGGGAAGTGGGGAAAAACATAGGCTTCTCCTGCTTCACTTCTCTATTGAGATGTCAGAAGATGGCGACAAGCAGAGCTTCAAAATGGCTCATCATGAACCTAGATGCATAGATTCATGATTTTCTTACAATTGTATTTCAGATTTGCATCATAATGTCTCAGACAATATTATCAGCGTAAACAGGCAGGGTCGTTAGAGTTTAAGTCACTCAGCAAATTCAATCTTATTAACGTCTCTTTCCCCACTGCCTTCTTTACCCATCCTTCTTGTTTTTCTCTTCAGTTTTCAGATTTCCACCTCACTTCTCTGCCTGTTCCGTTCCTTCTCTCCTCCGTCATCTGTTGTTCTTCCCCGCCATTGTTTATCAGTCCTCTCACATCATTGTCTCATCTCCCTGCTTTTACCTGTCCCCAACTTGCTTGTTACATCAACGAACACCCCATAACTGTCTCTCCTCGTCTCCATCACATTATTTCTGCATAATTTTTATTTTCTCCACCACTCCAAAGTAAAATGTTTTGCTGCAGGCAGGAAGTATTGCACTGAGCTGCTGATCATGTTAAATGCGTCCTAGTTCTCCCTCGCTCGCTCTCTGGCTATTTCACACCTGGCTGCTTCCTTCTAATATCTCCTCACTCCCAACACAGTACTACACTACAGTCATTAATTGGAAGGAGAGGGAAATCATATTCTCTCTCCAGTAACAAAAAAAAAAAAATGCTTCGAGTTCAAGACTGAGCTGCAAACAGTGTGCATGAGTTAATTTCTACCATGCTGCCTGCAGCTGTAGCAATAGCCCCGTTTTATAAAACATTAAACTGTGATATTATTATTTGTCAAGCAATGTTAAACCAAACCGAAGTACTAAAAACCGCTTAGGCACATTTTCAGCATATTTATGTTGCTTTGTAGTGGCAGACTCATACACTTAACATAATGGTATTGACAGGATATGCACAAGTATCGCAGTGACTTTAATTATATCTACACCGTGTCCAAGCAATGTCATCCTCTATCTGCACATTTAACTATGATATCAAATAAGACTTTATTTCTATCGAGGAGCAGATTTGAGTATTATGTTTTGGGTCTTTTGGGATGAGTCAAAGTCGAGTCTCAAGTCATTGATGGCGAGTTAAGTGAGGGTCAAGAGTGCGACCTAGAACTTTTCTACTTTAAAAAGAAAAAGAAATTATTGATTTATTGTTCTGGGATTTTACCAGGTCATATAACATGGGACATGATTATTTTTTGCTTGAGTAGTTAGCTGCTTATGTAAAATCCTTCAGGGAGTCAAGTCTCAGTGCAGTCAAATGCAAACTAAGTCTCAATTTTGTGACTTAAATGGGACTGGAGTTGGTCCACAGCTCCGGTTATGTGCTGTAAAATCACAATGTATAGCACATTATGGGTGTGTAAATGGGTAGATTTTCAGTGTGTGTATTAGACCGTTTCTTATCAGCAGTATATTAACTGCCGCAATGCACCTCCTTTATCCACCTGCTCTATTCACTATTTCCTTTACCTCGTCCTCCTTTGCTTCTCGTATTTCCGTCTCCATATTTTATCTGTCTTTTTTGCTTTGTCTCTGTCCTTCTGTCTCTCCGTTTCCCCCCACGGCTTCAGTATGAATGAGATTTCTTTTGTTCAGTTCACTTCATAACTGCCTTGACAAGTTCCATATTGATTGCACTTGCTGATTAGAATTGATTTCTTTCTGCGCTGTATTTTCCTTTCTGTCCGGTTCTTTTCCCGGTATGATGAGCATTTTTCAGTGTCCATTCATCAGAATGACGTTTTGGATTCTTCGGCCCTTCGGAAACAAAACGACTATAACACGCTGTATGACAAAAAAAAAAACGTGAAGGGAAAATCTGAGCGATGATTTAGAGGAGTTGATTAAAAATATGCTCAATGAGGTTTATTGTGTTTTCTGATTGTTTTTCCAGAAACTAAGACCTCCCCCATACCGTCCTCCAACGCACCACAGAAGGCTGAACCTCCAGTGGGCAGAGCTGCCAGGCTCCTCACGTTTTTCTCCCCTTTGCTGTTAGGAATGCTGCTGCTGTTCATGTGGTGAGCGAGTGAGCACACACACACACACACACACACACACACACACACACACACACACACACACACACACACACACACACACACCTCTTGTAATGAGTCTACAAGCCCTCATCTTTGAATTGATTACGAACTCAGCCATTCAGTCACATATTGGCAAGTCGATGCATGTCTATTGATGTCAAGAGCATTTTTAATAGAACAAGAGCAACAACGATCGGGTGAGTTAGTTTTATGACCCAGCAGGGGGTCTTTCTTCATATTTTTCTGCAGAACCCCTGAAGGGCTTGAGGCAAAAATCCAATCCAAAGCTGTCCCATTTCATTAATTTTACAGTTTTACACTATAAATCATGTTGTAATAGTACGTGTCCTTTTGAAGATATAGATGTTTATGAATGGTTCAATGAATGGTAAAAAGCTGAATGTTATAGATCACAACACAGACTGTAAAGGTCTGCCAACATGAAATTGTTGTTGCAGCCTATTTGATGAAACGACAAACACTGAAAAACAACATATTAACCAAATGACATTAAACATGGCTGCATCTCCAGCTGAACACCTGCTGCTCATTTTAACCACCGGAGGATGAAGCCAGCCAGGTTTAGTTGGATGAATAAGGTAGAGACACATTCATGCCAGTTTCCCTACCCTACCCTCAGCTACAGGAAGTCCAACTGGAAAACTGTTATGTGCCAGTTACACAGAGTATCTCCCCAGATTAGTTTTTATATAGTTTATATAATACACTTCAAATAATATGTTAATGTTAACACATACACCTGAGGAAGACTGTACTGTACTTCGATACACTTTTAAGGTACTCGTTCTTATCTCATTTAAAGGTCCAGTGTGTAACATTCAGGAGGATCTATTTGCAGAAATGGAATATAATATCCATAGGTACGTTGCATAAGTGTATAATCTCATGAATATAAGAATCGTTGGAATGTTTTTGTTACCTTAGAATGAGCTGTTGTTATCTACGGACGCTGTAGTTCACCTACCGTGGAGTCGCCATGTTTCTACAGTAGCCCAGAATGGACAAATACTGGCTCTTGATGGGGAGGGTCAAGCGAGGGAGTCGTGATCTGCAACTACACCGCGAGATGCCACTACATCCTACACACTGGACCTTTTAATGCCAGTTTATATTATTACTCCACCACAGACAGGACAGACGGACATGTACTTTATTTTGCTCTACTATGTTTATCTGACAGCCACACTTAATAGCTACTTTACAGATTAAGACTTTGCACAAAAAAAACATTGAACTATGCAGTGCAGTGCATAGTTAAAGATGAAGTGGTTCCCCTCTAAGCTTCTCACATGGTTTAATATAAACTTTAACTTTTTGAGGTCCAATAAAGTAAAAATGTTCACAAAGAAACCAAGATTATGTAAAAGTCAAAAAATTAGTAGAGACTTATGTATCTGAGCCACAGATTTATCACTGGACTAAACTACATATATCTCAACCTTAACTACAGCAGTACGATGCTGCTTACACACTGATGCATCCGTATTTACATTCTGAGTCACGGGGGCCATTTTTCTGCACAACCAGTACTTTTGCTTTTTGATACTTTAATGAGACGCAGCTTGAGATGCTTAATTTGTGCTTCTGTCTCTTTCTCCAGATGTAAATGTCTTATTCCTGAAGGCAGTGGGAGGAAGAAGAGGAGGAGGCTGGTCTTTTTTCTATTTTGCACATGTTTCAAGGATACAGTGCATTGATCATTTCTGTCCATCACACAGTTACTCACCAAGATTACTTAGACATGAAATCAGACGATGATAATGCGATTCAGCATTTTTGATTAACGGTGACAAACAAATTCTTCAGAGGAACTTTTGAAAGCGACATCCTCATCATCAACAACAACAGCAGCAGCAACAGGAGCAGCAACAACCACAACAACAACAGTAGTGAGATCAGCATAAACAGTCTTACAGTACCCCCTGGTGGCTTCGATGGGCCGCAGCAGACTTTGTTTGGCAGACAACAGTTTGGTTTGGGAATCTCCTCTTCAGAGCAAATAAATCAACTCCTCAGATGACAAATTCTCCCCTTATTACCTTTTGTTCTTTTTTTATTCATAAATTTAGAGTCTTAATTTCCACTTCTCAAATTGCAGCACTGTACAGACAAACACACACATACCTAGAGCATACGCGTGTGCGTTTGTGTGTATAGTCACCGTAGCAGTCCCCATACAGCTAAATCATCATGCCAAAGACTCAACTTCACCCCCCTAACAAAAACGGTTCCCAAACAATTCACTGAGCTTCCTGAAGCCTGTGTCTGCCTTTGTCATGGGTTCGCAACCCCAGAGAGATGTGTGCGTGCGGGTGTGTTTTTTTGCACAACACCCGATTTGAGAGCAACTCAAACGGTACATGAATGAAACTGAGGAACCCCCGCAGCTCCTGTTTGTGAAAACCAACCATTTAACAAAGAAGCCACAAAAATACCCAATCAGACTCTGAATCTCTCAACTCGGAGTGCTGAATCCAATAGACGGAGCGAGTCGTTTTTCGATATGAAGACTAACACTTTGAAGAATTCAGTAACGGTAGTCTGGCTTATTTAGACAGTTAGCTTTACACTCTGCTTTCAGCGACTGGCAAAGAGGACCTGGATTGTAAAAAACAAAACAAAACAAAAAAAACAATAAAGTGGATTTGAGACTGAACAATTCTTTGCCCACCCATTTGTTTTGGTTCGACTTTGATGACGACAGGGTTGGTTATTGATACGAGCTATGTTGGGTTTCCATTCTGCTCTGTGCTGTAAAATACAATAACACAAAACAGTTTGCTTTCTGACGCCTTTAAAAACATAAAAAAAAATGTCTTTTTGCAGTTTACATTTCAATAGCCAATATCACCAGTTAATATTATGTTATTCAAAGGAATATCGATGTGTTTTATTGTATTCTTTTTTTTATTTTATGGACAAATAATAAAAAACACACATAGAGGATTTTAGTTTTTTTTCAGACATTCATAATGGCTTAATTCTCCTTGATCCTATTTTGTAAACTATGATATGTAACTTTAACATTGAACAAAAAGTTTATTATTTAATAATAATAATAATAATAATGTATGTATTAGCAGTAGAATGTCGTAACCTGTACCTGGGGTCTTTTTTATAGATGTATATACAATGACAGGTTTCAACCATTAAATGTGACCATTTCACAATGAATGATGACATGCTGGCCTCATTTTGCCTTTCGATGTGATACAGAACCATCTATTCCTCCCTCTCTGACTGGGTAATCCTGATTTTATTTTTCTCCTAAAACAAACAAAAAAAAAAACAAGATGGAGGTGAGGTGTCAGTGGAGAGGCATTCTTTTCTAAACTGCCCTGAAGACAAAGGTGCAATAACTATTGAATCTAATAACTGAAATCTCACTTCCCACGTTCTTCCATAAACAAACACTGCTTCATTTCCAAATCAATACTTGTGACCTTGCTGAGAATGTTTTCCTCCTTTTGGTTCGATGAGAGAGTTACATTTACAGATTCAACTGAGCTTTATTAGCATTGCACGGGGGATCGGTGAAGGCTGATTCTTTTTGACTGTAGTGTTGTTTGGGTGTGATACATCATTCTTCCCTCAGTGTATGCTCAGTGGGTATGTCAACAGGGAATTTGTGTCCATCATTATTTCACTGATTCCATTATGCTTCAACCATTTGACATTAAACATGTCAGATGCATGCACACACGCTAACTAAGAAGGACGCTGCGTGGACACAGGAGTAGAAGTCATTTGTCCGCTCTGTGCCAAATTTTACGTCAGTCCATCAAATAGTTGTTGAGAGTTTTTCAGTAACAACCAAAAATTTCAACCAGCTGGTGGCGCTAGAGCAAAAGTCATTAGGACCCATCCTCTGAGGGGAAAAAACATCTGTACAAAATCCATGGCTGTCCATCCAATAGTTTTTGAGTCATGTCAGTGTGGACCGACAGACCGGCATTACCATCCTTAGAGCTGGCCGCTAGCATGGCTAGAGATTGACTGACTCAATAGACAGACGCCTGTTTGATCATCTTACTGCTCGTGTATTTCTCCCTGTCTGACTATTTTACATTGTTGTTCAAGAAGTGCATTTATTAAAGGAAGAAATGAAGCCACTTCCTCAGTCTTTATCAATGGAACCTTTGAGAATCTAAAAAAAACCCCACAAGGACTTGAATCACTCTCTCTAATATCGAAGGGTTATGCTGCTCCCACTAACAGCAGCTCTCCTCATTGTCCTGGTTCACACGTCGCTACAAAGAGAGTCACTTAATAGATTCTTCACTTGAGGAACACCAAAACCTTGTCAGTCATGCTTCCTTAAAAAAAGAAAAATTTGACAGCAGCATTACAGTTCTAATGTTTGTTACCCGAGAGCTGCAAAACACCTGTGGAAATGCGTGCACCTCTTGGAATGGAATGATCCCTAACCATCATTTCGAGAAGTTGTGATAACAGGTGACTCACAACAGTAAATGCTGAGATCTGGGAACACTGTGACATTGCCACAATGAAGTCTGATGGGCCATAAGCATTCAGATTATCAGACAGGTTTTAAACTGTAAATGTTTGCAACAACCTTACCTTTTTATTCTCTCTACCAAATATGTTTGGCTAAAGGGGGATTTTGTTTAAAACCTGTATGATCTAACTGCTGTTTCTTGTTCAGATCTCATCAGTTAACTGTCAATGCAACGTCATTATAAAGCACCTGATGGAAAGGATAGCCGAAAATAAGATTCAAGTTGTATATATATAATAATCCTTCAGCCTTACACACATTGGAGGAACGGCCAATAAGAAGGTGTGACCGGTGAACATGTCTCAGATAAAAATCAGCTTACAGCCTAAGTCATTCAACAAGGGAATATGAACAAAGGAGATATGGTTGGTCAAAATTTCCTTCTTGACCTTTAGCTCTCACTCTCTGTGCCTCTTTCTCTCCCTTTAATCTGTCTCTCTGCCTCTCTTCTCTCTCTCAAGCTCGCTTTCTTTCAATATTCTGACAAGTTCTGGCAGGCCGATCTGGAGGCCGAAGACAAATCAATACACCATCTAACAGCTGTCAGCTGGTGTCCTCTGTGTGTGTGCGTGTGCGTGTGTGCGCGCAGACAAGATTGTCTGCTGCTGTCGTGGATAGGGTATTGCATTCATTACTCTTTCCTTCCTCCCTTCTTCCCCTGCTCATACTGGCTCGTCCTTTCTTTATTAAATGGGGCTGTCGATGAGAACCCGATTAATATTTGCAATGACAGCGAATGAAGTGAATGAGGAGGGTAAAGAGTCCACAGCATAAGACTGGTGAGGACGATTCTTCTGTTCTCTCTGTTGTTCTTTGTGCTGTGAATAGTCAGATTTTTTTTTTTTTCTCTAGCAGTTGATAAATAAAAGTTAATAAATAGCATTATTTAACATTTCACCTTATATTTCAACCAAGCTTTTATTTAAATGGCAATTGAAATGTTCAGTCAGTGTGTGTGTGTGTGTGTGTGTGTGTGTGTGTGTGTGTGTGTGTGTGTGTGTGTGTGTGGGTACGCCATCCAGCTCCTGTCAGTTGCTCTGCTCTAATGACTAGTTTGACCTTTCACTGATAACTGGATGAATGACACGATCTCTCCTTCCCTCTCACTTCTGCCCTGGCTTCTGGCTCTTGCCTCTTCAGACACTTAACTTGCTTCCTCTTCCTATCTCTGTTTTACAATTCATGTTGTAAAACAGAGTCTTGCACAGTATTTTAGCTTTCACCGGTTTATTTTTCAAACTGTGTTGAAGCCACGAATCCACTGAATACATCCAAACGTGGCTTGTTGAGTGCAACTGTGCTTTTGCTCTTGGCAGCGATGTGTTGATTACTTTTCCTAAAATATGTTCAAAGTGTTGTGATTCCTCCAGTTTTTACGCTACCTTTGTTTGGATTGTAACACAAATTCTACCTTTACAAAGACAATAATTTTAATTTTAAGTTTTGATTGGCACTGTATTCATCTAACTATATGTTTGTTATAGAGGTTGTAGTTTGCAGTGGTGTTGAACTGGGCTACATTATATTGAAGGGTGTTCCAGTAACACTTTGTATAGACTGCCTACAGATGTAACAATTCATGAACAAATCCCATCTAATAAGCTGTTGAAATGTTACAGATAGTAAACTATCTGTAGACAGACTATCCAAATAAAGTGGAATCAGTGTTTCTTTGTCCATCCCATTTAGAAATATGAGTGGGAGAAATAATCAGTTTCAGTGTAATGCTGTCCACCACTAACTCAGACCTCAGTAATAAATATAAAAACAGTCAATTAAACACCTCACAGAAAACTGCGCTGTTGTACTGGATTGCATTAGAGTTGCCAGGGAGTGTAAACATAACATATTTGTTTAACTAATAAAGCAAAAAAGCACCCAACACAACCCACTTGTTTTTAAATTATTTCAACTTTAAGCTGCCAAATGTAAAACTTTGTTGCTTCAAATGATCTTTTTGATAGATTTTACACTATTGGAGGAAAATTTGAAAATAAAATTTGGCCACTAGAGGGCAGCACAGTCAACCTCCTTCACTGTGCGCTGTCTATGGTGCTGAAACATTCAAATGCAGTCTCTGTGTCTGTGCCTCCAAGTCCACCATCATGGCAAACAGTCCAGTTCCCATTATTGTACCCTTTTCACCATTAGTCAACATTTACGTATTTAGGTAGATGAAAGGCAAAAATGTCATTTTCTTCTTTGGCCTTTTGAATTAAAAGAAAATGTTAGATGTTTAGAGACTGCTAACTCAATGACTCCTGTCTCACAGCACAATAAATGTGACTTGAAAGGATTTTTGTAGCGAGCTCTGAAAGTCTTGCTTGAATCCTGATGACGTCTGCCTCTCAAATCAACCAATCAGAGGACTGTTCCACCAATAGCTTTTAACATAACACACTTGCCTGCACTGACGTCTATGAAGTACTGGAATCAGTAGTGCCACAAAATGAGAGGTCATGCAGCCATTCACCACAATTACTGCCAGAACATATCTATCTATCTATCTATCTATCTATCTATCTATCTATCTATCTATCTATCTATCTATCTATCTATCTATCTATCTATCTATCTATCTATCTATCTATCTATCTATCTATCTATCGCACAGAAATGTTAGTCAGCACAGATTCATTCTCCAAATTGTGGTGATTCTCATGATTAGATTGATCTTGTCTGTTCAACAGCTGAGGCTTATTTTACTCAAACAAATAAATCCAGACATGACTATTCCCTTCACCAAACCGCTCTGGATCTAAAAAAGTTCAGCTGTCTTTATATATTCCTCCCCTCAAAGACACACAGCTCATTGTGAAGCTGAACAACATGATCATGAGCATTTACAAGATAGGAGGCTTTATAGTGTTTCTCTTCAAATTGCAAAGCAAAACACAGAAATGGAAAATAAATAAATGAGCAAACATGGAGCCTGGTGGGACAATGAGGAACACGCTTGCATAAGATCACTTAATATGAAGAAAAACCAAACCACAGATTGAATTAGACATTTAAAATGACTACCTACTGAGGAGCAGAACCAGGCTCATTAAAGACATCCCATTAAAAGGGATTAAACTTGTCTTTACTGATATGATCTTGAATCTTTAATAGAGACATTATTCAAATTGGATTTTATATTAGTGGGGAAATTAAAATTTATTACATAGCCAGTCTGAGCATTTGAACTGACATACCTATTTAAAAACCGTCCACTCAGCAGGTTTTCCTAATCTGAAATACGGAAGCCAATATCATCTGACAGTTAGTGTTAAACATTAGGATTAGTCTGCCTGTCACATCCATAAAAACATTGTATTTTAGCAAAACCGAAATCAACATTTATTTGCAAGATGACATTTTTTAATCTATTGGCTTGGCATTTACTGCTCTGTTTATTATATTAGTCTCAAACACACTTTGGACCCTGAAACATCAGTGTGAATTATTGTTAGAGAATTCAGTTTATACCTTTTAAGATGCTGTAGACAGTGTCAGCCACTTAACAATACTCACTGCATGTTATTAATTTTTACAGCATGTAGTTAGTTACAGTGATTTTGTGCAGTCAAGTTTTCATTCTGTAGACTATTTCGCCCTCTAGTGGTCATCAGAGAAACTGCAGCGACTAACAGTTAGAGCTGCCCCTATCTTCAGTAAATGCTTGGATCAAAAGAGGTTGCTTTGCCTTAGCCATGATGTTTGACTTTGTCTTCCACCATTAGTTAAAATGAATGATAAAGCTGTACTTCTTTTTTACTCAGTATGCAGTCCATCCTGTGTAAATTATAGATTGAAACATTTCCAACATCACTTTTAATTGGATCTTTAAACCACTGTTGCCTTCACCTCTCATTTGGTTATCACCTCAACCTCTTTATTCACAACTCCAAAATTCAAGAGTGATTCCCTAAAACACAACCACAGTGGAGACCTATGTGATTAATTGCATTAGACAAAGTCTCTTTCCAAATGTATTACACTATTGATGTTGGACTAAATTCTGAATGGGCATAAAATAATTGATGTAAATATTTAATGTAAGATTGATTGGAGTTGAAAAAGAAAAAACTGCACATTTCAATAATTGAGTGTGCTATATGGAGTCTCTCAAACACAGAAAGGCTTTACAACCCGACCTCTGCATTTACTGAAATTACATTTAAATAAAGAAGAAGCACTAACCCATTATCACAAGATTTATACAAGTCAATGGTTGGATTCTTAAATAATACTGAAGTTAGTGTGCTGTTTTAAGAATGTGGTCATTAAGACATGTTAGGAATATTTAGGCTGCAGTTTGGGATTAAATGAATCGTGCTAAATCCTTTGTTAAATGATTGAGAAATAAAACTGTACCTAATCTCCTGGGAACAAACAAGAACCCACTTTTAAGACAAGGACGTGCCTTTGGGTGAGGTATGGCTGTGCCGGCTCTGACCTGCGGGGGGCAGCAAAGTGCCGCAGACCACCAATACGACCACAACTCCAACACCAGAAGAAGTGGCTAACCTGGCGGATGGATAACTAATGCAGGGAAATGGGGTGAGTATCCTCATATTTACCGACCAGTTGATCAAAAAGGACATTAAAACATTTGAATTAGCACTGTAAAATGAAATTACTCGTTTTAATAGCAGGCGAAGCGTTTCACGTTGTGCAATTCGCTCTAGTTTTGTCCTAGCTAATCGCGACAGCTGCTGTCCGCCTACACAAAGCAGCATCTCTCCCTGTCACTGTTAGCTGTTAGCTGTTAGCTGTCCCCGTCAGTAATGTAGCAGGAGAAGACAAGGTGGTGAGGTATGTCTGTGTTTTTGAAGGGCCCGAGGTTAAGCAGGCGGACAGTAATGACAGTAGTTAGCCTTGCTGACGTTACAACAGCTAACCCGGAGCTGTCAGCAGGTGACACAAATAACTAACTGTTAGCTCATTAATAATTCACATCGAAGAGCACAACGATTTCTTTTTTTTGTCACAAGCAAAAGAGTGTCGTTACAGCAGCAGCTGGTAGCAATGAGAGAGACACTCTCCGGTACACCGCCAGCTGAGTCTGTCCTACATTTCACTCAGTCGCATGAGAGACACAGACCTATTTTTATTTTCCCTCCGGCTTTCAAAGACTCCACTAACAAGTGAACAGGCTGTGTGTGTGTGTGTGTGTGTGTGTGTGTGTGTGTGTGTGTGGCCGAGGACTGAGGAGCTGTAGTGATGTTGTCTCATGCTCTTTGTCTTCATTGTTCATGTGGCAGTGTCTTTCTGTGAACACATGCAGTCTGGTTACCATTTGCATAAGTTAGGATTCAGCCAGGTGTCTTCTGTTGTCAGCTGATGACTGCAACGCTTCAGTGAAATCTTATTTACATTTGTTGTATTTATTCTTTTTGATCTGAGAGAGCACATGGACAGTAGAACAGTTTAAAGATAAAAACCTAGAGATATCACAATGTTATGATTGTGATTGTATGACTGTGGAGGGCGATGTCTGCCATGCTTATGCACAAATAATTGAAACAAATACATAAAGAGCCTCTTGCATACATTGTGTGTATGTTCATACCAAGCAGTTAGTATGATGAAGAAACGGCTCTTTGGCTGTTTAATCATGTATTAGTTCCTGTGCATTGCTGTGCTGTGTTGTCTTCGCTGTGTCATGTTTTTTGTCTATTTCTGGGACGAGGACACATTTCATTCTTTTTTATTTTTATCCCAGGACTCCCTGGAAAAAGAGATCTTGTACCTCAGTGGGGCCTAACCTAAAAAACAGATGAATGAAATTGATTTCATTCTTTTCTTGATGCACTGTGGCGGAGGATATTCAGAACCTCCTGGGAGGTACATTTATTGAGCGATAACAAAACAATCATTTCTTTTCTCTCCTTCCTTTCCTCTCCAGTCTACCTGACTCTTGCTGACCTTTAGTGGCGATTGGCCCCCACAGCCATCTGTCAACATGCAAGGATTCTACTCCAAGCTCGACTCTTCCCCCTCCTCATCCCCGCTAATGGGGGTGGGCATTGGGCGAGAAGGCGCTCCCGTACCCCTCAGCCTGGCAGTGGAGACGGAGAAAGCTCAGGCCCTCCTACAGACATTCAGCTCTGCCTCTCTGCTGGCGTCGGCGGGGCTCGGGATGTTCTGCGTGGTGGCGGACCACGCCCTCCAGCTGTCGGTCATCCAGAACCACCTGTGGCTGCGTGCCGCCTTGGACAACGCCACGCACGGATTGGTGGGGCTGTGGTCATGGGCAGTTGTCATTGGACTGAGGAAAAAGAGTGATCTGTATGAGGTGCTGCTGGCCGGTCTTCTTGCATCAATCATAGACCTGGACCACTTCTATATGGCTGGATCCCTGTCACTCAAGGTAAGACCTGCACCCTCACTGAGGGTTCTCATGTATATTTAATATGTCTAGAAATGTACTGAACATGACAGATGTGCAGAGTTTGCAAACAGTGTATGACTAATTCATACTGAATCTGGAGAATGAGCGAGGAGAAGAAGATGAACGGGTCTTTGTGTGGGCAGATTTGTGTGCGAGGCTGAAGCAGATTAAACATGAAAATAAAAAGGATCATGACTTTCTGCTCTGTAATCGTGATGAGTCTTACTTCTCCGCAGTCCATGTTTGCAATGAGCAAGTTTGCTGGCAGTTGCCTAATGATGTGTTTGTCTGGCACCAGCAATCCACTTTTCAAATGGAGCAGGTCTAGACCGAACGCCTTATAACCCTCCTTAGCACAGGCAGATACCGAAACCTGAACGAACGTCATCCTTTAATCAGTTCATTCATGTGTGTGGCTTTGTTAAAGATATGGTTCATTTCTGGAAGGAGCTTCTCAAGGATAAGGAAACAACAGAGTGTAGATGGATTCTGAAATCAAACATCCAGTATCAGTTAAGCACTCTCCAGTTTTTTGGAGGATGTATTATTTTAACCAATTTCTTTCTTCATCAAAAGGCAGTGTCAAAAGCTACATTCCTGTCATGTCTCACAGACTTGGACCACCTTTACATACTGTGCATTTTTTGACATGTGTTAAATGACCTTTGGGCCACTTTTGTTACATCAAAGAAAATCTCAACAAGGTCGCAGCAAAAAGAGTTTTTTCCTTTCCAACAAAACTTTGATGTGTGAATATAGAACTGATATCTGAAAGAAAATGAAGCTGTACAAGCTGCAGATGAAGGTAGCCCTTTAATGATAGGCTACAAACATTGATACTAACTAGTATACACTGGTTACATGTGGTATTGTTCACTGCCTGGTAAGCAGTGCCTTTTAAAAATTAGCCAAGTGCTTATCAGTAGTGAGAGAAATGACCCACAGTTCTTTAGAATCGTGCAGCACAGGGCTTACAGTAATCTTGCAAAATGATTTACGTACTAGTAGTAATTCTGTCTTCCCTTCCAGGCTGCTGTCTCACTCCCCCAGCGTCCTCCTCTACACTGTTCCTCTCTCATCCCCATCCTATGCCTCTCCCTCCGCTTCCTCATGTGGATCGGACGCCTCAAAGATGCCTGGTGCTCCTTGCCGTGGATGCTCTTCATTTCCATGGCGACACACCACGTCCGGGACGCGGTGCGCCACGGCCTGTGGGTGTGCCCATTCGGCAACACGGCACCGCTCCCCTACTGGCTGTACGTCAGCACCACGGCGACACTTCCTCACCTGTGTTCAGTGCTCATGTATCTGACGGGAACGAGGGATGTGATCTCCACCAAACACGGGGTGGCCATCGATGTTTAGACGTCACTGACTTACCAACGGCGTCTAACGCTGATCCGGTCTGGAAACAACGTTCTTAGCTGTTTGAATCAACTTTTAGATACTTGAAATTACGGGAGAAAAACACTAGAGCAGTATGGCGCTTTTTTTTTCTTTTTCAGTTTAGGTGAAGAGAAGGGTTGGCTAAGAAGGATGAGGTAACTCCTTATATGATAAAGGAAAACATGTACAATTAAAACTTGGGTTGCCATGGATGGAGACATCCTGTACAATAACAGGTTAGCCTTTCAAAGAGGAATGTGCCAATCCTGGATGATTTTTTTTCCGGTATTCTGGAAGTGCTTCAGAATCCTGTTCTCTTATCTGGAGAGTGATTCTTTTCCTGAATAACTGTCTTCGGTGTTTAGGGAGTGACCGTTTTTAAAGCTTTGACATATCGTTTTGCAGAGGCTTGCCTGCTCTGTGTTCATCTACCCAAACCCTGATAAAGAGATCCGAGACCTGACCTCCACCAATCCCAGAAGTGTTCGTCTCTCCCCCGGAACTATCACTATCTGTCCTCATCCTAAGAACACTCAAGGAAAAGTCAACCAAAGGTCAACCACAGGCTGTATGACGCAGTATCACCCTCACCCTCAGTGCACCCAGCAGTGTGGTACCACTTTTATTCTACTGTGCTTTTAAAATCGCTCCATCTGCCATAGTGACATTTAATGTATTACATGTTCATTGTAGAGTGAGTTTAAGTCACTGCCACATTCCAATGACAGATCCACTATTATTCACCACTAAACAAAAAAAAAAAAAAAGATCTTACCCAGCTGTCAGCTTTCTGCCACTTCAGCAGACTCTCTTTTTGCTGCTTGGATGAGCCTTTCTGTCCAGTCAAAAATAACTTTCCTATAGAAGGCAGTTTTTAGTGCCAGCCATGTCAGCCAAGGTTATGGAACAGGATGTTGTGGCTGTGTAACCTGGTGGAATTTCTTGCTTGCTGTTGACGCAGCATTGGTATTGTTGGATTTAGCTGAAACACAGTAAAACACATTCATTATTCCTAAAGCAGTGGCACCATTGAGCCTCCACTAAAGCCTGGTTGAAGTGTTAAATGTTGCTCAGATGTCTGTGTAATCAAAGTACCTTCTGTTGGTTGTAAAAAGGTGAAAAGGCTCTTCTACTGTGTGCATGAATCAACCTCGGAGGTATTTCACTTTTCAGAAGCACTGAGCTGAAGATGCTGAACTGAGTGTTTTCAGGCTTCCTGCTGTTGTACAGTACCAATGAACTGCTTTTATTTTTTACAGTCCACATACGAGTGTTATTTACATTTACAGATTTTTCTCAGTAGTTTAAGAAAAAAAATTGAGAAAATGGCAGGTGATGTTGAATTTTATTGACACTGACTATGTTTACATGCACAAAATATTCCAGTATTTGCCTCCCTCTTTCACTCTTTCCCTCAACATTTGCGCGTATCAGCCATCTTGCTGATATCCAAGTCTTTCATAATGTTTAAAAGCAGGTGTGTTCATCCTTCTGACCACAGATGTGGGCTTTTCTTTTGTGCATGCATCTCTGCTCCAGCCTTTCAAACTGCTGGCTAGTTGTTATGTTTACACAGAGCGGACTGTAAACAGTGTTGCAAACTGGCATATTCTGAATGCACTGTATAAATGTCCAAAGCATTTTCCTAAAACCTGAATAATGTGGGCATATCCCACATGTCTTACTCAAAAATACATTTGGAATAAGGCCTAATTAGGAATACCCAAATGCAGAATATTGTCATATTTGGAATAAGAGTGTAAATTAGTGTGCATGTAAACAGTCAGCCGTAGGCGTATGGTGTCCCAGGTGACCTCTGGGAACTGGAAGTTTTAAACATTCAAGGGAATGTTTTGTTCCACAGTGTGTCCATTGCCAGTAATATCTTCACATTACCTGTTGATATTTACAGAAATATAAAATGGGGGGAAAATGTAATTGTTGCATTAACTTGCTGTTAATTGTTCAACTACTTTTTTTTTCATGTTACTGTAATTAGATGACTGATTCAGTGCAGTCCAGTTGGTCTCTCAGTGGTGGAACCATGACTTGCAGAAGGACGTGGACTGTTTATTGGAACTATTTATCATACCTGAATATAATCATCCACTGAGACACAGAACATTTAGAGGCAGGAAGGAGGAAGTCATCGCACTGTAGACAAATCACTCCCATTCATTCCATAACAGTATTGTTTATTATATATTTGAAACAATGCATACTAATATGTTGTAATAGAGTGGATAGTGGGTGTAATAGGTTTTAGGAACTTATTGTTATTTGAATGTAATTGACATGGTTTGGGTTTAAAAGGGATGGTAACAGTCTGATTTCAGTCCTTTTGAGCTGGGGCAGATTTGGGTTTAATCACAATTTTCCCAAACATCAGCCACAACAAATATTTGAATTGTTTGTATTTTGTTCTTGTGAAGCCGCTGGTGATGGAGGTTGTAGTGATGCTTGTTGTCCACTAGGTTGCTGCAGTGAGCTATTGGATTCTTACTAATCAGCTCCTAAAGTTTGACAATTGCACAGTGAGTCATAGGGGGAAAAAGTCCTGGTACATATGTATTTAATTATATATTTTTATTTGTTTGGGTGTATTTTCTCTACTATTGCACAATCATATGTGTTATATTTATTTAGGAAATATTTCCCTTGTATCTCTTGTATGGTACAAAGAAAGGACTGGGAACACTGTACTACACCCACTTAACACCTACTTCACTGAAAGAGAAGGTAACACAGTGGCTGCCGTCCCATTTTAGTTGTCATTCTCAGTGAAACTTCTTTTACTGCTGCTTATGTTTACAATGTGACCTTCATTAATGCAATATTATGTTGAATTTTGCACATTTTAGTTTGAATTCTGTTTTGTATTATTTGTTGAATATGTTTTATGGCAGTTTTGGTTTTAATAGTAAGAAAGTATAGATAGTATCAAGATAGTTTTACTGTAGTGTTCTTTTTATCTCAATAAAATATATCCTGTGTATATATTCAGTATTTGTCCATCAGTACATGCTGTATATTTGCTTGGGTAAACTGTACAGTATACTGTATCAAGAAGAAGTGCAGGGAGCGATTAGATAAAGAACAGAAAAAGAATGACTCATAAACTGACATTAGGCAATCTGCCCCGTTGCTTAATGTCAGTACAAAGAATCCACTGTAGAAAGGGCAGAGATGCTAATTTCTACACTGACAGCATCCTGAGCACAAACACATTTAGTTTGACATCTGGCCCCTTTCTTCTTCTCACCAAATATTACAGTATTATCAAAGGGAAAACGCATATTGAGTAGCGGGGACTGTTCTTTCCTTGAGATCAGTCGTTCTCTGGAGCTACAGGAAAACCATCCAGCACCAACAGCAATTCTCATCAGGATTTAACTTGGGATTTTAGCGACAATGATAAATTGTGTAGGGCTGAATTTCATGAAGACAATAACAAACAGGATTACATACCTTAGTGTTTGCCAATGATCTGGCATTTGATGGTGGCAAAGTCATGACCTGAGAGAGTAGGGCGGGTCAGGGTCAATGGTAGGGGTGGGGGTGGGTTCAAGTGGAAAAAAATAAATACCACATCCTGTTCCACTCACCTTAGGATATATATATATATATATAAACATTTATTGTTTGCCTCGTTACACTCACGTTATGACGACATCTTAAACTGACTAAAATGAATCTTAATTTGTTACTGAAGAAATTGATATGGAAATCGATGGGGGGTACTTATCCTGTTATTGCCACTTGTTATCATTACATATTCTTATCAGCTACTGTACTGTCGTTCAGCTGCTGTGTGCTGGTCTTGGGTCTCTCAGAGGCATTGTGTTGAGCTGATGCCGCCAACTGGGAATATCCTGAACACAGCAGGAATTCCACTGAATACAAGTTACAGAAAATGACCCTTTTCATATTCTCCTCCATTGTTCTCAGGGTTAAAACTTACTTTGTACACCGCTGGACTGGTTATTATGAAAAACAGCAAAAGAATCCCTTAGGTTTTCCTCATCTACAAAGACATAAAAGCGATCCACCTCACATCAGTGACAACCAGGAGAACAATTAAGAATATTCTCCTGTAATTTAGAAACTTGGACTGGAAGATGGTAAGGCCTGCATGACGACACGTTTGCAGAATGGCGAGTGGTGCCGTAATACCAAGCCAATTTCCCTCCAATTGTACATCTTAAAAGACCCTTTCACAAGACAACAAAAGCAGGCTTGAGCTATTGAGAATCATAAGACACAGTCAGAAATCAGATAATGGAAACTTTCTAAAATAGACTGTAACAGGAAGCAACAGAATTTAGGGGAAATTTGGTTCATTTTTGGTTGATCACGTGCAAACAATACCAACGGCGAGAGAAAGAAACAGCCGTGGCTCATTTGTACCGTTTTTGAAATGTTAGATAGTTGGCATTTATCAGCAACATTACAACCAACCACAGACTAAACGGTCAGACGCTTTAAGCAACCAATAGACAGAGAAGGAACAGGTGTGGTTTTAGTAGAAGAACTGAAGATGTGGAAGAGAGGCTTGGTGAACCATGAGGAGATAGAAAGTGTGATAAAATAGTATTTATTTCACAGACATACAAGGACAGGAAGAAACAAAAACAGCTTATGGTGATATCTGTCGTACACATTAAGCAAAATTAAAAAAAAGGACTATATACATCTGAGAATGGATGCCTGAGTGTAATTGGAGTTATAAGAACTTAAAACAACAGGCTCCATCTGCCATCACATACTGCAGAGGAACATAGAAAGACTGAGAATACCACAAGCGTGTCCACAAAAACAGGAAACACCACAGAGTGAAAGAGAACGGTGGCAATTGATAGTTCCACACTACACAGAAAAACAACAGATCACTTTGAACCTCAAACACAGGATGGAAAACAGTCACTGATACTGCACAAGACCCACATTAACTCAGTCTCATGGTTTAGAAAACGTGAACTAGCAATGTCTTTGAAAAATAAATCACAAAAATGAATTTTTATTTTGCTGTTTGGACCAGAAAAATATGAACTTTGTTGCCTGTGAAACCCAGCCTTTATGACAAAATGTCTCTCCACGTGTCAGTTAAAGTACTTTCTTTGTAAATGACTACCATTATTTGTGTAGTATTTACGGTGAGTGAGCAGGTAGCCGGCTCTTTATCTTGTTTAAAGTCACGTAACGAAAACGTACAGGTTTTTGAAAGAACGGACGAGCATTGAAAGAAATTATCTGTGACTTAATATTTGGAGGTAATATTATGATTAAAAAAACCACATACTTACATTCATTCATTACTGGCCCATCCATTGCTAGGCAACAACTTTAAAATCCAGTTAAAAAGAATGAATAACGGGTGTAATTTCGACTGTTTAGGTTTTGTTAACAGACCATTTAGTTTACACAAGCTCTAAAAGTTCTGATATCCTTTTTCTAGCTCACACCCATCTGATATCTAGCTACACACATTCCTCTGCAATTCAAACAGAAAGTAAAATATCAGTTCTCTGTCAAATATTTGAAAATGAAACAGTTTCACTCTCTTTGTGAATGTTGTCACAGGAAGAGTTGAAAAAAAAAAAAAGTTATCTGACTGCAAAGAAATGAAGTGATGATGAAAGTTAAGCAAGTAGGATGAAGATGAATTCAGTAAACACATTGTCCATACAGTAATCGTACAGTAACACAGCTTCATATAACTGGGTAGAAAGACAAATACACAAATGCTGGGAAGGTTCTCCAGACATGGATTATCCTCGATCACTAACACTTTTCTGTGGGAATCTCCCTTCACTCACTTTTGGGATTTTACAAATTCTATCTGGAATAACTGATTCTACACAAACCTCAAATAACAATATAATCTGACTAGTGACTGAATATCTATTACCATTTGCTCCTAGATTCCTTGTAAGAAACATCTGATTGTCCAATTGAATCAAATGAACTGTAAAACTGCTAATTTGTCTAGTTATTACAAATTAACACAAGAGTTAAACCATGTCTGCGAAACTATCCCAAAGAAAAAAAAAAAATTCTCTACATATAAACATCACTTATAATGACATACATGAAATGTATTTTTTTGTGTGATATACAATAATATACAAAAAAGCTTCAACTGGATTCATGCATAATATGTGGAGCTAGCTTGAGAGAACATACAGTTGTCAAAGCTGAAAAAGCTTGACGTGGATGCACCTTGTGTTTCTAATACCAACTACACAGTCAATCAATCAATCAATCAATCAATCAATCAATCAATCAATCGGTTGATAACTACACAGCTTTGGATCAACAGAATATAACCACCAGACCAACAGAAAGAAAGAAAGAAAGAAAGAAAGAAAGAAAGAAAGAAAGAAATATATATATATATTTAATGCGAGCGGCCCACTCAAACAGTAGAGCCTCTCACTTCCATCTGTTGCAGAAAATTAGCCAGGACACAACGTTTGTAGGTGCAGCTGTAAAAAGCAAAACTAAAGCAGATATACTGAACTAGAGGTATTTGGGGCTTTTCATACGGTTAGCACTGGCCGCCCAGAAATCATTCATTTTCAATGAGTCGGTGGGACATGAGACACGAGACAGTGAGCGAGAGTCACTCTTGTTGATCCGCTGAGTTTGTGCTACTCTCATGTACGCACCCACCAACCGACAACATGCTCCGATTCGGCTACATAAACTCGCTGTCACAGTAAACCAACAGCCTGCTGATCATGGAGACAGTCGATGCTCAGCTACACCAACACTCTGCTGCCGCCGTCCATAGCTACCGATTTGTGTCAATCACCCAGTGTCCTCCTGAACTTGACCGTTTCCCTCACAAAACATTAAATATCGCCACCACACCAAAACTACTCAACATTCATTCTAACTGACTGTAGTGTAAGCTTACTGGGGCATACTGTTTCTCTGTTATGTAATGTGGTGTACAAGAAGTGATGCTACTGAATGTTGCCATAGTAACTGCCTACAAAACATTTCATTTCTGTCCCTGTTTTCTGAGGAAGTGGTGACGGTAGCAGTGAGCCCACTCACCATGTGAAAAGAACCCCATGTCAAAGTTATTGTGTGCTGCATTAGTGACCCTGCAGCACTTTCTGCATCCACTTTCACTCCCATCTGACACACAGTAGCGCTTTCTACGAGACACCCACAATGTCTGAGACTAGTTTCCCAAAGGACTTTTAGGATGATTATTCGTCATATTACTTGCATTGACAGCAAAGTGCTTATATCTTTTTATTTTAGTTAGCTAACCTTACCCCCCAATATAAATAAACCATCTTGTTATCATGCATTTCTACCTTTAAATCTAGAACCTCTTTTCCCATTTCATCAGTAACATTACTTTTTTGTGCAACTGATTTCTAATTTAACACATTATAGCCTGAACATTTGACTAACATTGGCAAACATTAATAAACTTCTGGGTCTAGTTAAATATGCCTCCTATTGCCTTGTTGTTCCAGAGATTCACTGGCCAACCCCAAACTATCAATTTACATGCAAGTCTTCAAGTTAAATGATTGTTTCATCTTTTATCAAGCAAGTGCCAAATATTTGTCAGTTACAGCTTGTCAAATGTGAGGATTTGCTGCTCAGTTTTATATCATTGTAAATTAAATATCCTTGGCCTTAGTAATTTGAGGAAGTCACCTAAACCTTCAATTTTGACCTGGAATTTTTCTCTGTCTTCGGATATAGAATAAAATAATCCACAGATTAATTGATAATGGCTATAGTTGTTAGTTCCAGTCCTATAGTGGACACTTTCCTATTAAACATGCATTTTAAATGCAAAACAAACACTATACTGTAAATGCTAAGAGAGATCCTAAAACATTATTCAACTATCTGTGCCATCCTGATTTTGGAGTAACTTAACACCCCTTGAAAGTCTCACTCTTGCTGACCTCCAATGGTTCAACTTCTCACCTTGTTCCATTGATGGAACGGTGTACTCCAGGACCCTGTGACATCACTGTTGGGTGTGGTTACCGGTGCAACAAAGCATACTTCTGACTACACCCAACCACACCCAGCACTTTCAACCAGAGAGGGCAGCAGAACCCTGCTTTTCAGCCCAGTGTTAAGTTCCTTTCTAAAGGTTGTCTGTGTGGATTTTAAAAAGGAAATGTAATTGTCATCCCTCAGATAACAATCAAGGTTTAACCTAAAGTAAGGATATCGTATAACCATCAAAAGTGACCTGAAAAGGAAGTTATTGGGGGTTCTATGGAGTCTAGACAGGACAGCTGAATAATATTAATTAATACTAATATTTAATATTCTCTAGTGAGTTAAGTATCTATGTAATGTCTTAATGCTGGTGGTTTGTGAAAGGCCAGAATCTCTTTACTTATCTCTCTCTTTCTCCGCATGTGTGCTTTTCCTTCACACACATTCAGGAACAGTGGATGGATAGAAAGAGGTATAGCAAAATAAACACATGTACAACAAAACAAGTATATCATGCGACACAGAATCACATGGCATAAAGGAAATAAAGTCTAACCCAACCCACCCACCCTGGACCTTATTCTCCATGCCCATCCCTCATTTCAAGAGCCAGTAACCGGTTGCCCCTCAGCTGAGACCATAATGCCCGTAGTTGCTGCTTTGGCATCAGACGCACACAGAGAGACTGGCAAAAGTTATGCTTCCTTCACAGCATTGAGTCGGTCGGTCAGTCGATGTAATAACAGACTTCTCACAATGAATCTAAAAAAAAAATTCAAATAAAACAACATGAGGAGTTCTGGGTGGGAGAAGAGAGGCAAGTTGTCCCAGAAAAGCCTATGTTCTCCTGATTGGCAGCTGCACTTCCTTACTTGTTACTCAAAAGTTCAAAATAAACAAGGTCATTCCTCTCCATACAGGCTGAGGAGTCAGCCCACCTGAAGCAGCATTGGTTGAAATGTCCAGACGCAGTGTCGCTCCTTCAGGGAGTGAACTGCAGTGAAGTTGCTGAAGTGAACGTAAAGTAACAGAGTAGGGTCTGTTTTCCCTGTCCCAGACGACAGTAGGCGGAGTCTGCTGCTGCATTATGGGTAGTGCAGTTAGATGTGACCACTGAATATGTCCAGGGACATCTTGCAAAACGTACCCTTCAGTCAGCTTTTATACACTAGGTAACTTTATCCTACTCCACAAAGTTCCTTGTATAGTCCCTGTTGTCCTGGTTTCTGGATGCATTCTGGTTAGTGTAGTTAAATACGGACGGCCAGCATTCTACAGTGGTAAAGGCAGGGGCTGACTCTTGGGAGGAGCCCTAGAACGGGCTGATGAGGAGACAATGCTTGAAATCAACCTGAGAGACAAAGAGAGGGGAGAAGAGAAGAGGAGGAAGAACAGAAAATAAGTTGAGCAGAGAGGTTAGGGAAAAGAAGAGAGGACATCAAGGCCACTTTATAAACATGAATAAATCATAATGTAATTGAGCACTGCCTTAAAAGCTCAGATTTAAATAACAGAGCTGGATGAGAGATACGCAGGCATATATAATCTGTGTGTGTGTGTGTGTGTGTGTGTGTGTGTGTGTGTGTGTATGTTAAGCTTATAATCACAAGTTGGCTGGCTATCTGAAGGGTTGTCAGTGTGTTGTTTATAGCACCACTTTGAACCATTTCAGTTCTTACTAAGGCAGCGTTTTGCCATGTTCTTCTCACTGGCTTTGCTCCCATTTGAGGGCATTTTGTGGCAGTGTTATAAATCTGAAACAAGTGACACTTAATAAGGATTTTAATTAGCTACGCCACAGAGGCTGTTCACCATCCAGAGGTCTAAAACTATCTGCCAAACAAGCTAAACTAAGAACACAAACACGTGTGGCCATCAGTGAGAACTCAACATAGTTCGTAACACATGTGCAACGAGACAAAACGCGAGAAGAAGTTTTCAACCGACTCAAAACTCAAAACAAAACTAAAAAATGCTCAAGATGAAACAATGTCTGCGTATACGTGTGTCTCACATTAGATTGGCATGGACTTCATCTTGACCATAGAGTTGAGTTCCTGTTTGGTCACATGATCACGCCGCCTCTGCCTTACCCTGCAAATATAAAACAACACATAAACACCAACAAAAATGTCAAAAATGCCAAAGCTCTTTGAGAAAAGTCTTACTCAAAGAGTAAGAAAGAGAGACAGGCCACGCAGCTGTGGCCTGTGGATGTGGGATACGTGTGTGTGTGTGTGTGTGTGTGTGTGTGTCTTACCACACGACAAAGATGAGGGAAAGGACGGTGGTGAGGATGACCACGGAGAACAAAACCAGCAGGATCACCAAACCCAAATTACCTTCATCATCAAGTACAGGATCTGAATGGGAAGAGAGAGGGAGAAAACAACAGGGGGGGTCAACAAAACAAGCAGGGGGGAGCTACAGAGAGAGAGAGAGAGAGAGAGAGAGAGAGAGAGAGTTAAAGCAACAGAGAGGAGAGTTGAATCACAGATGATTGTAAGATCGAGCGGGAAATGGAGGAACAGATGAATGATAGAAGAGACAGATGTTAAAAGTTGTAAACCCAAAATAAATACGGTTAAGGAAGATGTCTTGTAGTAACTCATCAACAAAAGAAAAAAAGATGCATTTCATATTTTTCTTGTTTAACATCTTTGTGTGCATCAGACAAAAAAAAATAAATGAAAAAAATAGTGGTATGTGTGTGTTCTCTGATTTAATTACTCTCTGGTGAGATGTTAATTTTACATCAGTCATTACAGCTTTCACACAAACATGCATTTATCATACTGAGAGGAGTAAACAACTCTCTTTGAAAGCAAAAACGTACACACGCCCACACCGACAATAAAATGCAAAAAAACACTTGGTATTCAGTAAAAAACGATTTATGGGCACATCTGCAAATGACACACACACACACACACACACACACACACACACACACACACACACACACACACACACACACACACACACACACACACACACACACACACACAGAGAGAGAGACAGAGACAGAGAGAGACATCTGGTTCACAGCAGACGAGCTAAAAGAAATTTGACGGCGTCAGTCACAGCGTCTTTCAGCTTCTACTCTACTGCCAAAACTGTGTGTATTTGTCTCCCTGTGTGCATGTTTACAAGTGTATGTGTGAGTGCATCTTGCATGTGCATAGTTTAGATGTGCATGCTTGCAACTGCAGACTGCTTCTTCTTGTGTTTTTGCCCATGTATATGAGAGCTGCTATGTACTTAACTTTTCATCCAGGAACAGACTGTAGAAAACGTAACACCCTGCAGGTACAATTTACTGCAGTTATATGTAATTTGGTGATGAAGCCAAGCACGAGGTACTTGCACTGTTCTATCAAGACTATAATAACGTTAAATAATGCTTTATTGCTGCATCGACAACTGATGTGGCCTCTTGTTGATGCCAAAATGGTGTCAAAATACACTTGTCCTACTGTTTGATTAGCTATGATTCACATAGTCCACTTTATCAGGCTCAAACCGAGACTAAGGATATACACTGCCATGGTTGTAAACAAGCAAAGAACTGTCTCGTCTCACAACTGATTTAACCTTTGATCAACTTGACTGTGTTAATAATATCACCTCAATGAGATAATGGATGTTTTGGTTTTGAATATAATGACATGCTTTAGTGGGTGACTCTGAAGCAGTTCATTTCAGGGACTGACATGCTCTAATGCTAGCAGAAGTAAAATTATTAGTTGTGGTAATAGTGATACTCTCAATAATAGCAATGTAGTTGGATGTACTAAACATAGCAGTAATAATTGCAGTAATAACAGTAGTAGAGTGTCTATATGTTTAGGATTAGTAGTAATTGTAACAGCAGCAGCTTTGGTAATTGGAGCAGTAAGAACAGTGGAAGAAGTATCAGAATCATAGTAACAGTAACGATTGTTATTGTACTGCTGAGCTACAACATACACATACAGCTCCTGAATACAATCACAAAGTGATTATCATTTGAAGATACATAGGAGTCTTACTGTGTGACTTTGCCGTGGAGGTCTCAGGTTTTGTGTTGAATGGAACAAAAAAGTCCTCTGGATCCTCTTCAGGTTGTGGGGTGGTGTACACTGCAGTACAAACAAACACACATGTACAGAGAAGTGAGTAACAGTGACTGTGCACAAAGCACAAAGTCTTTTAATAAGTTAAAGGCTACTACTAATCTAAAGTGATAGTGCTAGATACAGTACACTGTGTGCAAGAATTTGATGATTTTAGTAGTGACAACTTTCTCTATGTAGGTGTCAGTCACCTTTATCTCCCCAATCAAAAAATAAAGTGGCTTGACTAATAATTGAAGTACTGACCTTCCCAGGGCTGGACGAGAAGCACGGGACTCCATTCACTCCACTGGCTGTCAGAGTTCAACTCGTCTCGGGCTCGAACCTGAACCTGGTGGAGGTGGCCAGCCAGTGCGTCAAATATCACGACTGGACTCTCCTGAGAGAAAATCTGATTGATGGAGAAAGAGAGAGGAAGGGGAATGAGAGCACAGGAAAGTAGCAGTGAACAGGCAGAACAGCTGATGTTGTGATGGTGGTATGAAAGAGTAAAGAAAGTTCAAATAAGGAAACAGCTCTGTGGAACTGCATTTTTTTCAGAAATTAGATGACCACTCATCTGCTACATGCAAGATTTGCGTTAAAAAGGAAAGCACAACTGTTGTGTTTACTGACATTCTTATTGCTTTTTATTTCCTATGTTGGGACTTTATTTGAAGACCAGTAAAAACTTCTTCACTTTATTTGATGAGAAGTCAACAGAACAGATGAAATATATTGACTGAGGATTCAACAAAACCACACTTTAAATGAAGTACTTCATGATGTTCATGAGGAATGGTTTCTGGTGGAGACAATGTCTCCAAAGTGTCCTTCAATATTAGAAAAAGAAATTATTTGACCCGATGATTTTTGCTTCAACCTCATATTTTTAGTTCTTTCTTGCTTTTAGTAATATTTGCTTTGATTGGCTTAGGTTACAAAAATAACCACCAGTGTTATTTAGGTGTGACTTGTAATCACAGTAAGAAAAACAAATGATTCAGTTTGTCGTAAAATGTAGGAAACTACAGTTGTATTGCACTCCCCATCAACACTGAAATGAAATCTTTAGCCTAGCTTACTGACCTCTGACCAGTACATAGAGCCCAGTGGCCTGTATCTTATATGAAACACAAGGGGGAAAGCATCATGCACCGGCCAGGAGGAGGGAATGTTCCATGAGACGATCAGCCTCTTTGAATAGCCTTCTAGCTCCTTCACCAACACTGACTGTGGAGGGTCTGGCTTCACTGCAAAGAAGAAAGACAAGAAAGAATGTGAGATATAGTCACAATTATTTCCACTATGGTTAGCATACTATTTAAAAGACACAATTGAGAAGAGAAGGAAGGGAGGACGAAATGTAACACAGAAAACCAAAGCACCTGTTCAGATATACGAGTAAATGCTCAATTTCTTGAACTGGCTTGCTTTTAGAATCAGTTAATTTTGTTAACAAAAACTATGATGAAAAAGTTCGCCAACAACCTTTTTCCCATGACGAGGAAGAGACAATGACGAGGTAAAGATAGATCTTTGACAATAATAACCATGAGTAAACGTAGGTTTTGTTTTCCTTGACGAGACGACAGGACGGGACTAAAATATTAGTGGTATTAGTGGATATTTTCCCCCAATAAGTAAGTGACCTGCCAACTTTATATATTATGATATACAAATGTCAGGGCTCTCTTGTAGTGGCAGTGGGAAGATTTAGTCTAAAAAAAAAAACTGGCAAATTGTTCCCAACAAGTTAAATAATATATGAAAACCAGTAACCTTTCATTACAACACTGTCTCTGTTTTTACACACACACACACACACACACACACACACACACACACACACACACACACACACACACACACACACACACACACACACACACACACACACACACACACACACACACACACACACACACACACACACACACACCATTCTTCACATCTTGTGAACAAAATTTGTTGGTCCATACAGTCATTTTTTACAAACTGTGTGTCGATTAATTTCTATTTAAATTGTAACTGGTCTGCTGTCTCGGCCAGGTCTCCCTCGGGAAAGAGATTTCAATCTGAAGGGAATTCTTTGTAAAGGTAAAAATCTGAAATAGCTGGCAAAATGAACACCGTATAGAGTGTTTTTTTTTTTTTTATTAGTGCTGTCTTTTATCTGATGAGTCACCTTCTGTAGCCACATATATAGTCAAGCTTCCTTAAATTACCATTTTTCTATGCATATATCACCTTGCTGTGAATAGCACTAACCACTAATTCTCTGAATCTCTCTTTATCTATGTTTTAAGCACATTTATAACCACTGTGAAAAGAAATCAGAGGTTGAAAAAAACAAGTGACAAACATTCAATAGCTCTGAAGGATGCTATGAATGGCTCTGCTCAAGAGCGACAAGAACGTCATGCGGACAGAGAAGCAGCAAAACAAGATAATTGAGGTCATTATATGAGGACCGAAAGGGCAGTTACAACAGCAGTCTGGAAGAATTATGTTCTTAGAAATCATGACATTGTGTGTGTGTGTGTGTGTGTATCTGTGGGTGTGTGTCTTTACGTCTGCATATTTGAGCTTCCATGTGCATTCATTGATGAGTTGAGTGTCTAATAAATTCATGTACATGTGAAAATCTGTGTGCACATGGAAATTTGGAAAAGTGAATGCTTCTTTTACTTCTTTCTATAAGGACATTATTTTAGAAAAAGGAATGAGAGCATACAATGGAGGTGCTTTTGAAGCATGGATCTAGTACTGCTGAAGTGCAAGATTTGATTTAAAAAAACAATAATAGAGAACGTCAGCAATTTTGCCAGCCAATCACAACAGTAGTTTTTGTTATAGCCTGTGTCAGTATTGGGTGTGGAGCACACTTGAAACAAGAAATGTCACTAATGTGATTTATAGACATACAATCATCATACAAATGTGTCACTAAAAGAAAAAAATATATTTTAATAACTTTTATGTGATCTTACATAGTACATGTAACCTAAACTGGACATATGTTGCCTCGGACCCCAGGCCATTGGTCTCGATGATTCTCAGGGTATGGATGGGCTGCCAGAAAGCAGGGTGATATATGTCACAGTGCCTGTGGGCGACGTTTAGGACGCATGGCCTCCAGTCCTGGCCATTCCCCCTTTAAAACAAGACAAAACATGGTCAAGTGTTGCATTCTGTTGGGTAACAGACAACTTCATTGTGTGCTGCTGAACTGCAGAAAAGTTTGAGCAGTTTGAGAACCACTGCTGTAATGTGTTATGGTTATAAGTTTCCAGTGCCGAGAGGAAGCAGGGAAGGATAGACACGGTTCACATTGGGATACGGACTCGCAGTATACACACTACATTCAAAATGTCACTCTGTGGCACATGCACTATATTTAGCTTCTTCATAGCCCATTCTGTATGTGACCTTGGGCGTTACGGTTTCACTTGCAGTAACCCAAACTTACCTGAAGGAGGCATTGTACTTGGCTGGCAGGAATGTCTTTACCGATTCCACCCAGGAGCAGCGAACATGTGTGTGATTGGGCACTTGACAGGAAATGCTCAGCAGCCCAGGGGGATCTGGGAACAGGAGTCAGACAGATTTATTTACATGACAGACAGGGAGGATTTTTGTGCGGACCCTATTAAATGTAATATTTTCAAGGCGTCTCTGTCTTGTCCTTGAGTCTAAAACGAACAGCTCTGTGGCCTGGTGTCCCTAACATGAACCAAAATATTTCTGGAGAGGCTTGGCCAGTACTATGGAAAACTCCCTGTCCCTCAGAAGGAAGCCCACTTAGGGATCGCTTCCTGGTTGAGACATTTACAGGAAGTGAAGGGCTATGTCTGTGTCACAGCTGATAAGACCCATTTCCTCTGAAGACCAGTAGTGCTATTCTGATTATCATTGTTGTACTAAGATGTCTTGTTATAACTCAGAGAGAAGAAACTCATTCATTAAAAAAGGGAGACAGAAATAGAGAGATGAGAAAGAAACAAAGAGGAAAATATGTTGAAACTCAATTATGAATTATCCAAAGAATGAGCTGAACTGTGAGGGATAGAGATGCATGGATGGGACTAAAACACAGGGGACACGGGCATGTTCCTGCTGCAAAAGAGTCTTTTTTTAAAGCCGCAGTCCCATGTTGAGAGACTAAAAGTATGGCAGAGCTGTTAAAAGTATAATAACTTCTAAATTAAGCGCTGTGAGCCTGGACAAATCACAACAACACTTACAGCCCAGGCTGAGCTTGACGGAGTGGAGGAGGAGCCCCCGGTTGTCATAGCAGCTGTAGTTGCCCTGTGCTGAGTGGTCGACGTGCAGCAGGACTAAGCTCCCATCTGATGTCACTTTGTGCCATGGCAACGCTGAGCTGTGGTTGAGATGCCACGCCACAGGTATCCTGGTCAGGAACATGTTAGAGGTTAGTTATTATGCTGGGGAGGACTTCGCTCTATCACAACTTTCATTTAAATGATACGTATGGCATTATTCATTTTGCTTACGGTCAATAAATCCCATATTGTTTTGGCCAACAATGGGAGGTTATGGCACAGTAAGATATATCACTCTTGGGCAACACACACACACACACAATACCCATTATTAGGATCAGTTATATGTTGGGTTTGTCTTTTCATTTGTTGACAATACACTTCAATTTTACATATAGCATCATATTTGTTTTTATAGTTAGCTGATGTTCCCTTCCTGTACTAATAAAGTTGAACTGTGTTTGGAATACACTGACTGAGGCACTGTTCGACCCTTTGTATCACAATAAGTTATCTACTGATGGGGCAAAAATGTCAAACCATCATTAAAACTAGGGATGTCCCGATCTGATCAAGGCATTTTTTAACTGATCGTATTAGCTATATTGAGCTTTATTGAGCTGATCCAATCTTTTGTTTTACGTCAGCTGTCACACAGCTGTTCGTCAACTCTCTTTTCCCCCATTCTGCTCTGTGTGTGTGTGTGTGTGTGTGTGTGTGTGTGTGTGTGTGTGTGTGTGTGTGTGTGTGTGTGTGTGTGTGTGTGAGAGAGAGCAGGAGCCACCCCCTCTGCTCGAAGGAGAGCACAGTAGCAATCCGACACAGCCACAGCAAGTGCAACAAATGCCACGCGAACAAAAAGCCAATAAGAGTAATTAATTAATGTAATCTGCGCAAAAGATGTAGAGACAATGGGAATAAACACTTTAAATACAGTTTATTCAGGTAACTCTGGAGAGAGAAACTCCCTTCAGACAGCAACAAGACCAAAAACATTACAGAGGGTTTGTTAAGCTGTTATATACTTTATTGTGTAAAAAATTAAAACATTAAGTAACGTGATGCAATCGATATTAAATGACTCGGATTTGATCTGGGGTTTAAAAAACCTAATTAAACATTTTCTTTCAAAAAGAAAACTTTTATGATGAATGTACAAATGTAATAAATGTAGCTGCTATACTGATGTTTAAGATCACTGACAAAACTCTTTCAAACTACTGTATGACTGTACTGGAGCTCTCTTTTTGTCAATAGAAGAAGAAAAAAAATGTCAAGTTACACAGGCAATAGTTTTTCCTCTTACCCGGTTTGTGACTTCCCGCATGCCAGTGTCACATTCGACCCCAAGCGCCCATACTGCACGCCTGACACTGCAAACACAGACATCACATAAAATATTAAAGCACACTGTTGTCTGGCTTACAGTATCTGCACCCTGCACAACCTGACATACCGTGTGTCTGCACTGTCTGGATTAATGTGATTTAGGCGACACCATTTACAGTAGAGTCAACAGTATCACAATAACATGACCATACAAGGTCAGGGATCCTGCAGACACTAGGCTGTGGAGACTTTGGCACACAGTATAAAGCTGCTACAGAGTGTTTTATTTTTCTGAAAGTTTATTATCACAATCAAAATAATATTACTCTGTATCAGCGAATCCACTTCCACAATAGACAGAGAAGCTGTTAAGGATTTTAAGAACATAACAAAATACAGACAGACTTTACTCTGAAACTTCATTTAGAAACTTTTTTGATATTATCATTACAAAAACATAGCCCCTCTAATGTGAAAAACTACTACTGCCGCTGGTCTCTAAAAATCAGTTGATTTACTCAAAACTGGGCTGCTTCCTGCTCACTGTCTTGATTTCCCCGTCCATAAGATTGATTCACTGACTACAGAAAATTTGACATTGCCCTGTGCTTCCAGCCTTAACTTCACAAAGACAAAGTGACGAGAACAAGTGGCTGGCAGGTTATGGATTTTGGAACAATAAGTAATCACTGAGACACACAGACTACCGTGTTCAGTCAAGTCAACAAGTAGTTGTAGAAGTCATAATGTCACAGGTTTATTACCCGCAACTGCTCATGTGTATTAATTAAAGTGTCTAAAATCGAAAAAGAAAAGGTTAGGTCTATAGGTATAGCACAACCATTTGTATCAATAACTTAAAAGATGAGATAAAAGCTATTAAACCATGACTTACAATCACACAAAATTGAAAGGTTGTGTAGATCTGAACTGATACTAAGTGCAGTGTATACCTGAGCAAATATTTGTGGTGACTGCAGTAATTTGCTGAGTTGATATTATATCTGCTGCGTGTGAGTGTTATGTATGTGCATGTTTAGCTTGGCCTCATTATATGAAAGCTGGCATTTACAGATCTGGAGTGGAAAAACATCACTTTGAATGCCAGTCTGCCACGCACAGACCTTCATTAATTCTCAACCTCAATCACTCAGGCATGCACACTCCCTGCTGGCATCTCCTCCTTGGTACCAAACAATTTGTCCCAGGTCTGTATTTTGTTTTTCATTTTCATACAAATATCCTTTACGCTCTTTTCTTACGAGTTTGACTGGTATTAAAGTGCTATCATGATGGATAACAACCATTTGCTTGATCTTGGAAATGTGACTTTGTTGTTTACAACAGGCCCGAGGGGTCCAGGCAGGTCGAGGAGGGGAAGCATTTTGAGGATGTTATTACTTAATCTGCTGTATTGGTATATTTATATTAGTTTTCCCAGCTGCAATAACCTCATATGCCCTTCAGGGGCCAAGTAAATTAATCCTAAATGAAACCTTACACATACTAAAGGCTTTACTGAGGGCCTTTTCAATACTTGGTTTTCACTGACACCTAAAGCTCGCTTTTCTGGCCTTTCTGCTGTTGTTTTAGTGGCTGTGCAAAATGAAACAGCTGGGGAAACGAGCAGCAAAGTGCTCCACAGTGATTTTGTGGTTGCATTTATGTTTTTGAGCGGTGGAGACAAAAGCGCACAGAAAGGAGGACAATGAAACCTACTGAGACTTTTTTAAAAAATAAATAATCAAATGGAAGCCTGTTCATTCTGTTGTGGTGTGTATAGGAAACAATGTATCATGCAACACAAGACATGGTTAATACATTCAAGCTACCAAGACAGCAGTTATTCATGAGCCACTGTAAACAAAGCTGTGCAACAGTAGAAAGACAAAAGATATGTGTAGATATCACAACTTATTTAGTTTTCATGACCAATATTTGTGATTGCCATTTATGTTGAGTATGTTGTGTTTTCTATAAATTAAACTAAAGGTGTGTATTTGTGTCTACATAGTGTTAAAAAAGATATGATTGTGCCAAGCATACCATGATACCATGCCACAAATTTATCTTAAGCAGATACAATGCAGGGTCTTTCTTTTCTAAACAGTCAGTCAGTGAAAAGTCCACTTCTAGTCTTAACTTACATATAATATCAGTAATAATGTCGGCTGGTCGATTGTTTGGTCGATATGGTCACGTCCGACCAAAATGTAATTGGTCGTAAAAAATTGCTGGTCTGAAAATAATATTATAGTTCTGTTTTAATAATGGAATGGCTTAATAGACTATTTAATGGATGTCAATTTGTGTTTGAGTTTTACTATGGACTGCTACGGTGTAACAAGGGCTAATAACGGGCTAGTAACAAAGGTTCAAGCTGAATGATGGATCAATAATGTTACCGACTGTTCATGACCCGGCTTATAGAAATAGCTACGTGTGAAAAAGAAATGGCCAAACTGCAGGAATTCACAAAAACTATGTCCATATAACCAGGTAGCTAAAGTAGGTCAAAGCTCTAAAAAATGGAATTTCCTTTAAATTTAATTCATCATTAATTCATATATTATTAAAATATTCCCTAACTTCGTTTGTTAGTATTTCTCCTTTTGTGCCAATCTTTCCTTCTATCTCAATCTTTTTATTCAGTGTCTCTCGCAGTTTTAACCTGATTCCCCCCCCTTTAACCACTAAACACACACACACACACACACACACACACACACACACACACACACACACACACACACACACACACACACACACACACACACACACACACACACACCCCTCGCTCTGTTTCTGTGTGTGTGTGTGTGTGTGTGTGTGTGTGTGTGTGTTACCTGGGGCCTTGGTGCAGTGCAAAGATTTGGCTGGTCTGAATGTGTGTATTCATGTTTTATTGGCAGTGAAGTACATTATTCCCCAAACCCGCAGCGTTCCACTCATATCTGATTCTGCCTTTTGGCAAGAGCGCCAAGACACGTGCACGTGCATACACACACACACGCACACGCACACACACGCACGCACACACAAAACCACACACATATGAACACACATATGAACACACAAACATGCATTTAAGAACACTTATCCACACACACATTAATGCACACAGGAAGGCAGCAAGTTTCTCCTGACATTGAAATCAGATGGCAGAGTGGACACAGAAATTGCAAGCTGGATGAAACTCAGTACTTTCCAAACAATGAAAAAAGGACTCTGGAGCTGCAGTAGGGTAAAATTAATGGAAGGGGAAAACTTTGACAGTTTCACCTGAAAGGCTAAGGTTGAGTGCTCCTATTGTTGGAGTGATTAATTTGGCCGATTTTATAAAGAGCTACAGTAATAAAGAGAGGTAGAAAGAGAGCGAAATAAAGGGAAGAACGGTTTTTCAAGGGAAGAAACAAGAGTCAATTTCTTAATGTCAGACAGATCCCTGCAGTGCTGTGTAAGGCAAAAAAAAATATGCTTAAACAATAGAATTCTTGTTTGTGGAGCGCTAATCCAAAAAAACATGAATTCCAATTCAACTATAAAAAAAAACTGAAGTTGCACATTCAAAAGTGGACAGACAGAGAACAATAAAAATTAACAATGATGTGTTTCAACAAGAAAATAAGTTCTCTGATCATAATTTGGCTTAAACCAGTTTTTAATCTAAATTTTGGACGTTTCCTCCCTCTTTTCTTCTGCAGTAGTAGTATCCCATAAATACTTTAAGCCAAGAGCGCCCAAAATAGTTCACTGTGATCCTTAACAGAATGTATGTTTCTATGTGTGCGTTTTAAACATGTACTCTCTTCTGCATGGTGTGCATGCATACGTGTGCCAGTGTTACCTTCATCGGTCCGAATCTGAGCACGACTGGGACGCAGCGACCAAGATAAAAACCAGATGACTGTCAAACACACAGGACTGGACAAAGGGCCTGGCATCTAGAAAAGACAGAGAGAGAGAGAGAGAGAAAGAGAGAGAGAGAGTTGGAGGGGGGATAAAAGAAAAATGATTAAGAGTTATTTTTAAGCCTAAAGGATCTGGCAGTAAGTATTGAACAACACCAGCATCATCATCATTTTGAGTCCATTTTGTACAAGTAAATTGCCATGAAAAGAAAAATGTTTGGGAAAACAACCTGAATTTTTCTGTTTTTGGTAATTTCCTTCACTATAACAACGGCACACCAATGTAAAAATTGCTTTGTAACAACATGTTGCAGGCAATCTTTTTTGTTTTAGTACTGCAAATTCTGTTGCATTCAGTCCACAAATGCAAAAACAATGGTCAAGACAACTGGTAGCCTCTATCTCTCACTGGTGGGATTGTTAGTGTGAGTCTTTCAAAATTAAAAACACATTTCCCATAAAAAATAGAGGGAAAATATGTTGGAAATGTTTTTTTGTTTCCATTGGCTTTACTTTCCCAGAAAAACTGGGAGAAGTAAAAGTTTTAGTTCCACTTGTGCTGCAGAACAGATCCATCTTCCAGTTTCGTACCGTAAATCAACTGAACACATTTCCTATATAATCTAACCAAGATGTGCACATTGTAAAGAGTAGAGGCCAGTCGAGTAGATACAGTTTAAAAGTGTTTTTTTTTTTTTTTTACAATTACGCTATAATGGTGGTGGTGCTATGTTGAACAGGACGTGTGTGGAACATGACACAGACAAAATAAAGCTAAACTTGATGTGTCTGAAGCCATGTGAGCAGCTCTGTGAGGCTGTATTTAGGCACAGTGGTGCTTTGAGCTAAATGGTGATCAGCATGCTAACATGCTCACTTTGACAATGCTAACATGCATTCCTTTAAAGTCCCCCTCCACACACAAATACTACTTCAATGTGCATAATGATGTATGTGCATAGTCTGACACTAGAAGGATGTTTTCACATTCATCTCCTGAAAGTGGAAAGTTTCTCTGTGCTGAATGAAAATCAGATTTTAAGGGGCGGGGCCTACAAGCATGATTTGTGACATCACAAATAGTTTGGAAGTCAATTCTGATCCAATTTGCAAATTGCAAAACTGTGATGTGGAAATTTGAAGCCACCAGTGCACATTCACTGAGAATGGTTTACAGTAAAGTAGGAGACATGTTACTAAGGGAAAACTTTAGAAAATGAACTAAATTTACATAGTCATAGATTCTGGAATATTTTAATTAGGTAGAAGGAGCAGAAACCCTTTTAAGGATTTTAATGTGGAAATTATACTTTTTTGTGGGAAAAAAACCCAAAACATATCAGATACTCCTTATTGTTCCAAGCAGATTATATGCATCAATGTCTTAATTCATGTCTGGATGGGATCTTTAAGAATTTCTCTATGTAGACAGAGAAACACTGGCATTTTGACCGTTATATGTACAGACAAGGAGCTGTCATGAAACCATTAAATTACTAAATACACTATTTCTGACTACTTAGAGCAGGAAATGAATTAACAGAAAACTGTTTGGCAGAGTAAAATCTAAACTACAGCATATACAAATAAAGAAATGATCTATACTTTCCCTCTTTCTGTCATGAACAGTGTGATGGACTGTTATGGGAGTGTAATGTGATGCTGCTGATATTTTTATCCTCAAGGGACATTTACAACAGACAGCTGGATTACAGCATTTGTGTGTGCTCAGGGTCACACACACACACACACACACACACACGCACACGCACACACACACGCACACACACACACACACACACAGACACTTTGTTTCCGTATCCCATCAGCTATTAATGTACCCTCAAGCTAACCCAATTAAAGCACAAAACATAACAATGACAACTGATTTCCTGACACTGTAAGCTCCTCAGTGTGTCTACATTTGAGTGTGTGTGTTTGTGTACGAGAGAGACTAAAAAAGGGTCTCTGACTGTGATAAAAAGTGAAACACTGTATGTGTTTGTGAGCTGCTAAGCCCAAAGTCACACACCTGTTGCCAAACACACTTATCTTATCTCTGGTGCCACTTCTCTTTATAGAGCTGCATGTGAGATATCCTCATGAGAAACCTTTCAACACTTTTAACTGCAGCTCCATAGAGGCAGAGGGTAATTAAAGGCCCATAAAAATGGCTTTGTTACATCCACAGTCTGATGGATTTCCTGTTCAAATAGGATGTTGTTGAATCTGGGGTCATAACAGTCACTGATCGATAGAAAATACAGACTAGCTCGATCAAATGCTGGTGAAACACAAGCAATGCGAAAGACAAATGAATTGAAGCGGCTTGTACACCAAAACTCTAGAGTGAGCAATTTATTTTTGTGCTTCATCAGGCTTCCTTGTTATTTAGGATTAGTTATATATAGGAGATTGAAATTATATGATCACAAGCTCCACATACATTATTGTGTAGTGAGGATTTCAAACAACCAAATAGTTAAAGAACCTAATTTTTTTTTTAGAATTTGTATAAAAATATCTACAGTCTCCAAACACAGATTAAATACATGTGTAATAGAGATAAGATTAGATCAACTAGGGAGTGTGTTATAATATATATAAATGAAAAAGAAGACACAGAGAGACAAAGTGGCGGACCATTTTAAACTGTAGTTTTATTGTAGGTTTTAAATGGGACTTTGAAGCTCTTATGTGTGATCACATAAATTTTCAGAAGATGGCAGAATGGGATACCAAAAGTGGATTAGGTTTATTATACACAGAGGAAAGACTGGACAGGAAAGACAGAAAAGACTGGAAAATGAGAATTCTACAATGTAAAATATGCAAGAAATAAATGTAAGAAATAAGCGGAAAAAAAAAGAAGAGAAGTGATGCATAGCTAATGCTCCAACTTGTATTAAAGCATTGTGTGTGTTTGTCATATCACCTGTTGACTAAATTCAAAGTGTGTTGATTAAGCTGAAATCAAGCTTGAAAAGATGAAACTGAAAAGCAGTTTTTAAGCTAACAGCTATCACACAGCTTTTCAAAGAAAATAGTGCATGAGGCACTATTTTCTTGAAAGTGCTTTGAAATGTGTTCTCTGAGATGGTTCGTCATCCTCCTTCACCTTTTCAAATGTTTAATACCAAGTTTCTACAGAGACAGTACAAGGTTGACTAATATTCTGATGAAGTCGACACAAAGCAGACAGAGCTCACTGCTTTTATTTCGTAGAAACATTATTTTTTTTCAAGGTCAAACAGAGCCTCGCTTCACAAAGAGCAAAATGGGGGATGAGTTAGGACGCAGAGAATCACAGTGCGGCTTACATAATAGTTTCTTTTATATATTTACTGACTGTGGTTTGGAGTCTTACAGAGAGGAGAGTAGGCAAAGTGAGTGTTGGATGAATGAATCTCTCTCAACTTCAGTAGAGGTTTATATTGTCTTTGATGTTGCCCACTATGACACACTGAACTGGGAAAGCCCACACAAGGCCAAAATGATGCTTTCAGATTCAATTACAAATCGATGTAAAAGCATTTTGAGACAGTATGTCTTATTTGAGTATTTGTGCTGTTTCAGACAAGGAGTGCAGGAGGAGAGGAGGCGGACTCTGTCTACATCGATGATGTTCGGTGCTCAAACACAGTCAGAGAGGATGGATATCATCACTAATTTGTTGCTGCTGTTGCTGAAATGCAAATTTAAAAAATGCAGTGCAGAATTATTTCCTGGGTGTATTCATGTATGTATATGTTTATGTAAAAAAAACTGTATATATATTGTTTTCTTTTTATTGATTTTCTGTTATTCTAGAAATAACATTAGGGGACTGCAAACTTTTTTTTTTTACACAACCTTGCGTTGAATAATGATAAAAACATTTCCTTGATTCCTAATCAACAGATGCTTTGACTTATAGGTTTACTTTCTTGAAGCTACACATGCTGATTCTTTACACATTTAAAATTACATTTGAATTCATTATACCAAATGTGCATGTGTGTAACCATCCACAGCAAGGGGCTTGAGGGATTAGAATTTCCTTTTCCAAGACTTTCCTTTTTTTTTTTGCATACATGCAAACATTTAGGGCTTGCCTTCTAATGTTGCTTTACACCTGTAGTTTGGTTCCCCTAGTTCAGACCAAAAAACTACAGATTTGCCTTTACCTTTAGTTCTAGTCCATGTTGGTTCACTCTGATGTCTTACAAGTGATGCCAGATTTGTACACAAAATGAACATGTACAGACAGGAAACTCGTTTTCTGACTTTTTTGGAGACTTGTCATCCTACATCACCAGCGCAACAACAGTTAATGGTAAAGACCGACAGCAAGTCATGTAGCACTTTACTGCTTTATATATTGTGCGGTGGTCACAGAGAGCTTGCAAAGTATCATTAGTTAAGACTACAACTGGACCTTGTATGTCACAACTCAGAGAAAGACAGCTATACAAAGGATGGAAACAAGGTGTCTTCTACCACAATATATTGGGTAAATAAACACTAAGGTTGCTTCTTCAGTTTTACTCACTGCAAAAATACATGAATGGAAAACCCTTTTAACCGGTTTTACTTCCTGGACACTAGGGAAAATACCTGCACCAAAACCATACACTGTTCTGTGTTTTTTAACAACTACATTACAGATTGCTTCCTTCCTTGCTGTGTGTGATATTGGGTGAGACAAATACACTGAACTTTAAATATATAGCTAAAAGCCACATTAAAATTTCCACTTTGGCTGTGAGATGGAACCTGTAACCTGGTTATTGGGATCGTTGTCATGCTGCCAAAAAGATAATCTGTTTGTTTAAACCATAAAATAAATATAATCATCAGGAGAGCAAGGTGTAATGTTTGGCTCATGTGTCTAAACAATGGCGACAGTGTGTTTAGACACTGATTAACAGTGCTTCGGGTACATTTTAGATTCTGATTAACAGTGTTGTTGTGAATGGAATAAATGGGATGATGCCTTTTGGCTTCAGCAAACGGGGCACTATCAAACAAAAGGAAAGTGAGCAGTGTACAAT